TGGGATCAGTTGCAATGCATATATGTGAATGATAAAAGTAAATTGCACATTTGTCGAAGGAAATGTAAGGTGCTTCATGAAATGTTTTGTAAAAGATATGTTCATTAAATTTCAACATTTTCCTAATGTTCTTGTGCTTCTTTATACCAAAACAAAGGAAAGACATATTGTTTTGGTTATTTATAGCAAAGCATTGTATCATTTTAATGGTCCGGCCCACTTGACATCTACCGAGGCCGTATGTGGCCCACCATGTGAAATGAGTTTGACACCCCTGTTCTATTATCATCTGCTTCTCACCACACACACGCATGCCCCACTGAAGCATTCAATGACCTCCCAGGTGGAATGAACCATTTTGCATTTTTGCAAGGTAAAGGGTGAAGTTCCTGCTGTGCGGAAAAGCCCTAAGTGTCCAACTGGTTGAATTATATAATGTATCCTTGGTCAGGTCCCGCAATAGAAATGACAAAGAGTTGCAAAGGAACTGCCACCTACATCAATGTAGTTTACAGATGAGCTGACAGAGCCTTTTCTTATTTTATTTTTCTTGAGACGCCCCCTTAAAATTAACTCAGCTGTTAGCTGGCACCCTGGAACCTTGCTCATTTCACTTAACTGTCGGCACAAATATTACTGTATTGATATTTTTGCGACCAGTAAGAGAAGAGAGCAATCTCATGTACTTAGGCACATTTTTGGTTGCATGGACTTTGCTTTTAGCCGCAATGTAGTGTCAGCAGGTTTGTGTCACAATGAAATGAAATGAAATGTGATTGGTGATTTAAACACTAACTGTCATATTACTTTGACCCGATTTTGCAAGATTCCAATGAAAAGTCATTCGTAATTCATTTGTACCTTGTGGTGCTAACTTATTTTGTTCCCCTGATGGCAGAGCTGGCAGGCCTGTTGGGTGAGGTGAAGAAGTCATCCACTTTCAGCCCCACCCAGATACTTGCTCCTCAGTGATATGCACCTGTCTGGCAAGCACATACCCACTCAGGTGTGGCCTTGCTCTTCATGCTGCATTCGGCAGACTTGTCGAAGGACTAGGCTGTCGAAAACTTAATGGAGGCATTTGTTTTTCTGTTTTTCCACTCTTCGTTTATCCTGGGCGAAAGCTGAAGGCATTTTGTTTGGACTGTTTGGAGGACCGGTCATCACACAGAGTGAAAAAGGTGCGTTTGAATGAAATATTTAATAATAATACAATTTGATCATTGTATGGTTACATTTTACAGGCTACTTGCTCATGTAGTGTAACTGTTTTTTCTTTTTTTTGTTCTTTTTAATTTTTATCAAGTACAACTTTATTGTCAAATGTGCTGTATTTGTAACAGTAGTAGCTTCCGTTTGACCATTAAGGAATCTGAACTTTGACGACAAACAAATCAGCAGTATTTCGTGGAAGAAAATCTGGGATATTTAACAGCAGCTTTCTAATTGTGTGGATCTATTCTTTATCTATCCTAAACCGGAAAGCAATTAGAAAAGAAGCCAAAGTTGAAACTTTTTCATATATCTACGATGTAAGGCATGAATTGCAGAGAACCCCCCACCTGGTCATGAGTCACTGTTCACTATTTACACTTACTTGTGTGTTGGTTTTCTTTGGAGCTGATCCTGCGGTATTTTTTTTATTTTTTTTAAATAAAAAAAAAACCTGCTCATTTGTGTCTTTGAGGTATATTTTTGTACTCTTACGGCAAAGCCCCGACTAATAAAGGATTAATAATTGGTATCAAGGAAGTATATGTTGGAGCGATACAGCTCGATTGCTGAAAATCCTTCGATGTTCGGGAGGAGCCAAGTTTAGCTTGAATTGTTAGTGCAAGTCATGCAGTCTTTGCAGCATTTGTTTTGGCTTTGCTGAGTTGCGGTTGAAAAGCTCATTTGTAAGATGTTTCTTTTTAAGGGAAATAAATGTAAGATAAATTTGAAATTTTGCTGTTTAGATTTTAACCCTTTCAGGGACAAGGGTCACCGCAGTGGAGAGCTTACGATGTGATCAGGTTACGGGGTGCAAGAAAGGGTTAAACTAGTTATATAGATATGCCCCCCCTCTCTATTTGTGACACACCTTGACACCAATCCCCTGCGAAGAGTCGGGGCTTACTGTAATGGTCAGTTGGGTATTGGCAAAATGGTAATTTCCAAGAACTCTTTGCATGGGTGGCATCCATCCATGGGCATTTGTCAGGGCTAATTTTGTAGATCTCTAGATCTTATACAGACTTGTTTTTGTTGTTGTCTTTACACAAATCTGCCCCACATTTTGTGAAAATGCTGTCAACTTCATACCAGGTCTGTCCAGTTATATGGAATGTGGGTGAGAAGTGAAGACCAGTGGGGGCAGGCTAATTTAACAAATGCTGCTTCTTGCTTTCAAAGTATTAAATTTGAAAGGTCCACAGGCCTGTATTTGTACTGTAATTACTGTGATCAGTTTCATGTGTATGACATTTTGTTTTGGCGCTTTGTCACTCGACTTGGTTTGAAACATTTATGGCTACTCTCTTTTAGTTGATGCTTGCTCAAATGTTACAACTTTATTTCAGCATGATTTTCAACAGAATTATATAAACGGTTACACAGCAACAAAATAATGTAGTTTTGGTGTTACGATGTCTGTTTTTTTTTTCTATTCATAGAGTTGTTCATGTCATGCCACCACATTTTTTTCTGCCCATTCAGAGCTGCTGTACCATTGTCGAATGATAAGAAAATGTGGTGGTAGCCTTTGAAGTTCTCAGAATTAAATTTCTGCAAGTCCACCATGCTCAAGGATGAACAGTTGCACTCAGGGAAAAGGGGCTTTGTCCAAATTTTTAGCAACTTAGGATGCCACCACAGCCCAAATTTTACAGCTTTCAAAAGCCTCGAGTCTTACGTATACGAATGGAGACTCACCAAAGTGCCTACAGCCTTCAAAAACATTGGAAAAGAAAATTCTGGTCTTTTGTTCAATATTGATACAATCTCATAGTTAACACTGTTTAGTCAAAAGATTTATTTTCAAATCACAGTTTTGCCAGTGCATCCCAATTTTCCATTTTTACTGCGGTTGCCTTCTTTGGAAATGATAATTTATTAAATCACCATCTGTAGTATTTATGGTATTCATTTAATTCTTTCATGCACCCTGTAACCTGATAACATGATAAGCTGTCCACTGTAGTAACCGCTGTCCCTGAAAGGGTGAAATATATCAACGTTTCAGAAGAAATATTTGTTGAGTGCATCCAGTAAATGAAATGAAACTGACATTTTTGCTACTAGTTGTAACTCTCGTCTGTTGCCTTTTGTTGACCCTCCACAGTGCCCTTTACTGTGCCGTGACACACAGCAAGTCCTCAGTCCTGTCACGCTAGACATAACAGCCATGGACCCTCAGGTGTGCCCGCTCCCGCTTAGTAGCAACCAGTCATTGATATCGGTCCTTGACAAATCCCCAGCCAGTGTATACAAATCTGGCCACTCCAGGAGCAGCAGCACTGGCTCCTCCAAACATTCAAAGCAGGTAACTCAAGTGCAAAATCTGGTTGCTAATTTTTTATCGAGATGTAACACACCTGATGTCTAGAATTACTTTTTGATGTTTTTTTTTTTTTGTTTTTTTTTTTAAAGAACTTTTCATCAAGTAGTTAAATGTGCCCTCAATTCAGGTGCATGTTACATTATTTCCAAATAGCTTTTAGTGTCGTAGGAAAACGTGAAATCCTCCAACTAAAATGTCACAGTTGAAATTAGTCAAATGATTTGAGTCGTTTTTTGTCCCCCCCATCCCACATCCCATAACACTTCCAACAGACAGCTATACCTTTTTGAGCATGTGTGAAAAGATTGCTTGCTGGAGTTTATTTTACTCTTCAAGTAAACACTGCACACTTTCAAGGTGTGGTAAGTCTGTCTCTCTCTGTCTCTCTTTCTCCGTCTCTCTTTCTGTCTCTGTGTGCCTGTCCGAATAAGTTGATGAAAATGTATATGTCCTCGATGCAGTCTCGTAACTGGGAAGTGATGGAGGACTTGCAACAACTGGAACAGAATTCTGTTCCTGGCTCCTCTCTGGATCTCAGTATTCCTGGGATATGCGAGGGCTTTTTGATGAAGAGGAGGAAATACCCACTCAAGGGCTGGCACAAGGTCTGTACAGCTCGATAAAACTTGCCCACTTCAACATTGACTGAAAATGAGTGGATTTGTTTTGACGACGGTCTCTCTTATATTCCAGAGATACTTCATGTTGGAGAAGGGAATTCTGAAGTATTCAAAGACACAGCAAGATGTAAGCAATTAACACTGTTACTTTCTGTATGAAGAGAGCTAGCCATCAACTCTTTTTCACTAAGGACTATGGAACTTGTGTGTTGGTGGACTAGGTATGGTATCCCTCGGTTTTTTTGCTTGGACATACTTTTAAGTGGGGTATAGACTTTTCATCTTTGCTCCGTTCCAGACTTGGCCTTTACATTGGTTTGCAAATGATTGTGGTTAATACCGGCGTCAGACTACACGATTGTAGACCAATTTTTATCTGACAGCGTCTGTCAGAGACCAACGTCTCATAACAAATTTGGAGTTGTCTTGACACATCGTAGCCCATGTTAGTGTGACACACTCAGACAATTAATCAAGGGGCCACAACAGTGTGGTCGCGGGCAGCCATTTGCTCATCCCTGAGAAAGTTGGATTGGATGGCTGGATACATAACTGTTCCGTGGGGAAAATTTGATTTGCTAGCTTGATTACGTTTTTCAAAGTTTTCCAAATGACCCATGTTTATAACACTAGTGAAAGGTTAAAAAAAAAGAAAAAAGCTTTGATTAACCAACCCACGCTCACACCCACATGAACGCAAGCATACATATGATCACATGTGCGTATTCATAATTTTGGCATATTGACTCTGGTACGGGACATCAACCATGAATTTTTTTTTTTATTCTGGTTGACAACTTTAGCAGATGATATTGATAATATGGATTTGATATCGTAAAAGCTGTGGGTGATTTGTGATGAAAATTAGTCAGGTATTAAGTTACAGGTTGCGGGTTTAGGGCTAGTGCATGAGCTACATCTGGTAACCAGCAGCCTGGACGATTTTTGTCAGCCCACACGTTTCTTTGTGAATGTTATCCAAAATGAATGAGTCCTCCAGTAGATGCAATTCAAGAGTCGCCATCCATTCCCTTTTTCTGAAACTGACCGCGTGAAGCCAAACATGTATCCAGTGACCTGTGTCATTTGTTTGATAGCCATCAAAAACTTGACCAGGAGTGAGCATTGGCAGTCCATTAAGCTATATTACGACTAGTTTTCGACTTAACTCTGTGAAAGTTTTTTTTAGCCAACTAATTTGATAGCAAATGAGTACGAAGAACATGAGGTAGGTTTTGCTGGTCCATCATTCGCCAGCGGGCAGACCACCCATCTGTCATCGTTATTTCCAGCCGTCTAAATCTGTCATCGTCAGTTCGCCCTTCCGTCATCGTCATTTTGACCACACTTCAGTCATTGCTTGATTGCAGTTTGTCACCACTACTTTAGGACCGTCAGATCATCCTATTTTCTTTTTCTTCTTTGTCTTTGTTTGCCTTCTTTTTCTGCTTTTATCCACATCAGCGACAGCCAGTTGATGCAGACGACTTATTACGTTACATGCATTCAGAGCACACACATTTATTCAACTCTAGTAAAGAACCACATCTTACGCTGATGCCCACAATCGTTTTATTGCACATCCATTGTGAAACACCGTGGTAAGTAGAAGAAATAATTAATCAATAAACAAAATCCATGTAAACCAGTTGTAGATAAGTCAGAGATCATCAACGTCTATCACACAATTGTAGCGTTCACACGTACCATTTTACATCGGTGCTGCCCCGCAAACGAGCATTTGCTCTGGAGCAAATTTTTAAACCACCTCCCTGAGGTGGATCAAATTTGCTCCGGTGTAAGCTGTTTTCTGGGGCTACGCCGGAGCAAATTTGCACGTGTGAACGCTCTACTGGCGCAGCGCCGGTGTAGCACTGGAGCAAATCTTGCCGTGTGAACACCCCTAATATTACGCTCTTGTTGCTCTCTCGCTCTCAAGGTCAAGGTTATCTTTATTGTCAAAGATGCTTTATGTATTACATGCTGCATAGATGAAATTTCTTCCTCTCTATCCTCCTCAGTGCAAACATGCTGTGCATTAAACACACAGCTAAGAAAAGATAGCAGCTAATGTATGTGAACAGTATACAGTACAGACAATATAAGCAACATAAACAATGGCACTTGTGGCTATTGTGGGTAAAGTGAGGTAGTGCATTGTGCAATATGCAATGTGCAATACGCAGATGTCGGATGATGAGGGGAGGGTCATAGTCTGTGACAGGAGGCATTCATGCTCCTCGCACTGTCCGGCGTACGTTACACAAACGAGAAAAAGTTATTCTCAAGATCTTCTCAAAATGAATCAATTCAGACAGATTTAACAGAAAACCATCACCCTAAAGGTTTGTATGCCAATGAATACACCTACCTAAAATATTAGACTCAAACCATTGTAATTTATGTTGTAATGGAAACCATTCGAAGGTAACACGAGTGCCAGGTACAAGCTGACACACAGCCAAATAAAGTAAAACAAAAAACAGGAACACACACGCACACACAACGTGGTGACTGGTGAAAGTCACCAGATTGACTCAGTGTTCAAACTTTTTTTTTTTTTTTTTTTAATGTGTCATAGGACGAGGAGCCCCTCCCTTCTCTGCTCCGCTAGAAACCACCTCCGTGTTTTCACTCACATGCAAGACATTCAACTGAATGTTTCTGTCATTCGTCATCAAAACACCCTCCGTACTGATCCAGTCAGTGAGCTTTCCGGTGACTGATGAAAAACTGCTTCCATCAGTGCTTAGTCTTTCAGTTATTTGAAGTTCCCTGTCATTAATTTTTCGCCAACAAACCGGGTGTCCGTCACTGACGGTCTGACGGACCTTGCATCAGTTCTGACGGAATATCCACCTCCGGTAAAAAGGACCTGAAGTGCTTCATGTTCATACTTGCCAGATCGAAGCACACCACATTTCGGACTTAAGGGCTACCATGAAAGCTAATATTGACTACTATTGACAATAGTCAAGACGATCCATGTGCAGCTCCATTCCAGACAGAAAACATTATTGATGGCATCGCAGTTTTGGTTGATTCATGTCGGGTTCGCCAATATTTTAAGGGCTACTTCTTGGACACTGATTAATGTGACGGGCAAGCAGTTTCGTACATACTTCTGAAACAACCAATTTGCTCCAAATATTGACCATGTGGGTGACCCCTGGTTTAATGGCGCGTGCAATGCTTAATTTTGTTCCTCATTTTGTTTTATAGATTCAAAGAGGAAAACTTCACGGCTCAATGGATGTCAGTGTTGCTGTCATGTCCGTTAATAAAAAGTCTAAACGTATAGACTTGGATGCTGGAGACAATCTCTACCACCTGATGGTAATTTTCAAAGAGCAGCTGATTGTTACATGAATTCAGAGGAAACACCATCACGTTAGACCAGAGAAAGTTGTTTTCTTGACTTTGTAATATTTCGTCGCTGACCTGCGAAAAAGATGTTTGGCCATTTTTGTCACTTTTGAAATTGGTATATTAAACAGGTGTCCAAGTTTTGGACATCCCATTAATGGAAAACATTTAAAAACTGATCAAAATGGACATGTTGTTCACAGGTCAGTGTCGATTTGTAGAGGTGCAACGATTAATCGCTTTTCAAATGAATCGATAGTTTTTGAGAATAATTTTTTTAGAGACCAATTTAATTTCAACTTGTCCAAATTTTTTTATTTGTGCCTCTTAACAGTAGATAGTCTGATTCCGGGCTGATAATCTGTGTTGGATCAAAATTTCAATTAAAAAATTATTTACCAACACTTGCTTCACTTGAACATTTTTGTTTATTTTTTGACATTACGGACAAAACCACTTACAAAATCATCATCAGTTTGTCAATTTGAGATGGTGTCCTGTTTTTGAACAAAGGGACGGAAATTAAAACTTTTTCTTCGTCCAATTCATCAATTATTTAACACAATTATCATTAGCAGTAAATAGATACATATGAATAATAAAATAAGACTAAAACGCGTCTTTAAATAAGATTCTATTACATTACTTTTCTCTTTTTTTTTTTTTTTAATCGTCACATAATGTCTGTTGTCTTCCTTCAGGCCAAGAGCCATGATCTCTTTTACATTTGGTTGACAAAGCTGTGTGCCCATCGTGTATTTCGAAAGAACGAAGCGATGAGCGTCCAACGTGGAGTGCTTCACGCACTCTCTCTTGGCCATAGTTCCCTGCCAGCTTTAAACAATCTGGCCCAGAAAAAAAGACCCTCGGTGAGTAAAAATCTTGAATCCCGAGTGTGTGTGTGCATATGCACGCGTGCTTGTGTGCACAGTAAAACACCCTCATCACACCAGATTCATGATCCTGCTATGTAGTTTGTTGTTGCTGTTTGGGGCGGAAATAATAATTTTGTGTTGCTGCCATTTGCCGGCATCTTCCAACGATTCAGTTTCAGGTTTGAATCCTGCACGTCATGATAAAATACCCAATTCATAGGTACTGATTCCATCAGTCAGAGCATTGTGATCGTTTCAGCCCCTGACGTCACTCAGTTTTATGGACAACGGGGGCTAGTCCCCAGGGGGACCCAGGTCGTGAGCAAGTGTAGTGCTAGTGCAGCGCGTGAGCACAGAAAAAAAAAAAATCACAAGCCGCTAATGAAGACTGAAAAAGACAGTAAAAGTCGGCATTTGTTTCGTAGTGTTCCACTCTGTTTTTGAATATATGTGTGTGTGTGTGTGTGTGTATGTGTGTATATATATATATATATATATATATATACACACATACACACACACACACACACACACACACACACACACGTTCTTTATTCTACATTTTATGGATGGTTCGATTTATACTCCGGCGTTATTTATAATCCGGAAAATACGGTAGTTATGGCGTCTAACTTTTGCTTTATACAACAACAAGGGGTAAAAAGGTGCCAGAATATGCTCATATTCCGGTTTCTAAAACCCCTTTGGCTACTCCTTTTCTAACGCAAATATTTGGTCATATAAATTCATTTCGAAATACCTCCATTGAAAGGAACATTGGTTTGGGTTCAGCTCGTGGTCAATCTGCAAGGTATCTTGATCTTCAAAGTGCTACAGTTACTGGTATGCGCAGCATCTGGCATGCAACCCACTGGAAATAAGCAAGTAGAGATAAACATGGCAGAACCGCACTTAGGGAGCGAGGAAAAAACAGACGACTTCATTAGTGTGGTGAAAGACATGACTCTTTGTTGACTGCAGAAATTAAGAAGCGGAAATGACGTCGATTTGCGTCGTGACGTGTTCCTTGCACCACGGTTTAGATGGGATATTCCTGGTTGATCCCAATTTCCATGTGTACGTGAGTAGCTCTGTCTGCTCTTGCTTGTAAACAAACAGGTTATGATTGTTTCCAAAATCAGAATTTTGACCTCAGCACAACTATTGACGGAATGTAAACGTAGCCAGTGAACTTTGGGTGGCCCAACACAGTCATGTTATTGTTGGGCACTGTGGAATGCTGAGACAAACATTAAACTCTGAAACAGCTGAGAGGAAAGGATGTGCTTCTAATCTCAAAAACAAAGTTATCTATGAAACTCAGTGGAAATCACTTTTTTTTTTCTTTTTGACAAGTCACGTCTGTTAGTCATGTTCCACTTGCTTATTTTGATGAATATGATACACAAAGTACGTCACACCTGTTATTGCAATATTTTTTTTTAGTTGCCCATCTATGCCAGCTCGGCATCAATGTTCCAAACAGAGATGGAAAGCCCCTCCCAGACGGTTGCCTCCCATCCAGGCGTGACCAACAAGGTATCAGCCTGGCTGCAGCAGACCAATGACATTGATGCAACTTCCAATGGTGAGACACAGCTGCGCGCTTTTCATCCTTGACACAATATGATGAACATACAACAGTTCAGCATCCGCTGAATCGCCCATTCCCTGATTCATTATTCTCCCATATTTTTTTTCTGTTTTTGGGGGCGTTGGGCAGCAAAGCAGCATTTTATTTTTTGTGGAAATACATTGGAGGATTATCTTTTTTTTGCGTAGATTTTGGGTTTACAAACATTTCTAATTTTGATTTTTCCAATCCTCAATCTCATTAGATTTAAATCATACACGGATTTTTGCGATTCACAAGTCAGCCAGGCCCTTATCCCCTGCAAATATCAGGGTTCCGCTTTATACTTTCCTGCACGTCACTCTTTTATTCCCCATGACACCTCAATAGGTCTTCAAAAACCACGGCGGCAGGCTACCCATAACATATTTGTGTTTTTTGCGTTTTCTTGATCATTGTGTGTAGAATTGTCTGATGCAACCTCTGACTCAGGAACAGTCATTGTAAATCATTTAATATCTGTCCAGCAGCAAGTATGAGGGATGAGCCAGGTTCATGCTGCAGAAGAAGTAGAGGGCGAGGGATGCAGAAGTTGAGGCAGTAGCGCGGATCAAGGAGAGAGAATGCATTCCAAGACAGTAGCGATGTACAAATTAAAGACGATTACCCCTTGATAATTGCTTTGGGGAAGAAAATCTTCCACCAATTATGAAAGGAAGAAGCAGCCATCGAGAGGCTTCGGGTACACAAACATTGTGTGCCTCACACAAAAGCCACACCGCAGCGAAGGTGCCGGGTCTGCCTTTGCTTAAACAAGCAAAGTGATGAATACTTTTTCAAACCAGGATGTTGGCTAGCGCTAGTTGATTGATACAAAAGTCTTGTTGAGGTGAAAGGGACATTTAACGATCAGTGGGAGTATTTTAGTCTGTCTGATTTTATCAATGAAAATTCAACATTGTTTTTCCAAGTCATTGAAGTTGCATATCGTTAAATTCATTAAGCCCTGGAGAAAAAGTGTTTCAAATGACCAAAAGGGACAGTGAATACAAGTGAACTTGGGATGCCATTAAGCGATTGCATATAGCCCAATGGGTGCTGCAAAAGCTTTCAAACTGATTAGCAAACATATTTTCAAAGGGGGTAAAGTTCATCTCATAAAATTGATCCTTTTCTTCCAGACTTGACTCGTTGTCAGACAGACCTGACCGAACTCGCCCTTCTGATCCAGCGACTCCATTGGCTCGAGGGAGGCTATCCAGTCACAGACACAGACTTGGAGATGCGCATCAGCATGCAGGTGAATCCTCTTTTTGCCCTTACTCACATATTGTACTTTATTCATTTCGACACATGTAAATAACACTTTGCACTTGTTGAGTGCCATATTGTACAGTTAGGTTGTGCCACGGAGGCCTCTGCAAAAAAAAAGAACAAAACAAAACAAAAAAATCCTCCCCTCACTCTGAATGGAATTACTTGGTTTACTTGTTCCCCTAATCATTTTTATCATTTTTATACTTTAAGGAAACGAAGCAACATGGAAACTGCAAATTTTGACAATTAGCTTGTCTACACATGTACAGAGGCTGATCTATAGATATATAGCCAATGATGGATCTTACAGACTTGAACAAATACTGCACAAAATGGCATTTTGAGTGGACTGACCACTATTTTCTGTCCGTTAAATCCGGAGTCCATTACTCTGTAAATTGAGGTTCCACCATAGTTCTACTTATTCCACCCGTTATAAGACCTTTTGGGTGAAAACAAAGTTGTCGCACACATAATTTTTTTTAATTCACCCAGAATCTTTCCTTGGAGAAACCCAAGAAGACTGGCAAATCGTATGGCCATTCCAGGACCTTGTCTCGTGTGGAAGCTATGGGAGGAGTAAGTTTTCAAACAAAGTTTACTTTCTGTATTTGCTGTTCAAAAATCTGTGGATCAGGTGTCATAAATTCTACATTTAACAAAGTGTCAAGGAAAGGAATGAACAATCGGTCCCATTGAAAGCGATGAATACAGTTGTAATATGTTTTTGCCGGCTTGGCCTCTGTTTCCTCTAGTTCACTCCCAGCCACCTTAGTACCAACTTCAGTTCTGTCCAATCTATCCCGGACTATGTGTACTCGCAGCTGTCTAATCCTCAAGCCATCTCACCAGAGGCCAAGAAACTCCAACAGGACATCTGTATAGTTTCGCAAAGAGGTGCATGTCTGTTCTTGTTGAATTTTATTGAAATATCAAAAACGATTAAAATGTTAATTTTTTATTACTAGCTAAGTAATCACATGTCACGGTGTTGTTCATTAGTTGAACCACTGAAACACTTTTATCTATTTCAAATTTGTGGGGTGCGCTGTTTCCTAAACCTGAATCATGAAGGTTTAGGAAAGAATAATTATATGGGTGTTGATGCAACAAATGAAACAATACTCATTGTTGACACCAGTTTCTCAACTTGCTTTGTCATTCTAAATCAGCAGTTCAATAATTAAAATATTTAGTCAATATCTGCTATTTTTAAACGATTAACTTGTGCAATTTTTTTGACGAAGAGGCTCTGTGTGTTGCAGTTTTTACCTCTCTCAAGTCTGTTCATGAAGTGTTGACCTTGGAGAGAGAAAGACTTAGACAGGCCTGGACTGGCCCAGATCTGAGGCGGGACACCTCAGAACAGCTCGCGACACTATGCAGTACACTCTCAGAGGTAATAGTGACCCATACTAGCCAGTTGAATGTTGTTTCAAGTATGCATACAGTCCCTGCACACACACTTACACGTACAATATGTATTCACTCGTGTATGCACATATATACATGGACGTATCTACACAACTCGCACAAAGTCACTTAATTTGATCTTTTCCAAACTTTTGAATGCACATGTCCAACTTTTTAACGTTTCAGTACAAGTTTGCACGAATGGCAGTTCTTTAACACAGTGGTCCCCAACGTTTTCTTGTGTCATGGACCGGTTGAGATAACTGCAAGCTGTTTATGGACCGGCAACCATTTTTTTCATTTTAAAGCACTGCTACTAACAACAAAGATAATTATAAAATAATTCAACATTTTATGAACATTCATTCATTTCAAACAGTGTTATTCTACTGCACAACAAATGTAGACTAATAAAATGGCACAATGAACAACTAAGAAATGGACCAATTAGGAACAATAAATTCACCTTATAACATCAACATCATCCTTTTTGAAGTTATGATGCAATGTACGGCGTTAGCATCATTGCTACTTGTAAATGGGACACGATTTGATTGCCGTTTTCATCTGGTATGTTTGGTTAGTTGGTGACTATTAGTTTCTCTGTACTGCTGGAGTAAATTTGCTCACAGCTCGCAGGTCTGTCTCTGTGCGGCCCGGTACCAAATGGGCCGTGACCCGGTACCGGTCCCTGGACCGGTGGTTGGGAACCGCTGCTTTAACAGATTATCAACCATAAACAGCACCTATGTCAAACTCCTGCTGCACAGGCCACACCCAGCAAATTTGCAATCACACCCAACAGTTAACATTTTTAGGCCTTAGTCATATAGTGTCTTTGACAACTTTTTAAAATTTCAAAAAGAAATATGTTGGACTAAATGTTGTAAGACCAGTGTCGCCAGATTTACCGTCACCAAAATGTTATGCAATGACAGGCTACTTGGATCATTGTTATTCCACCTACTGTACATGCGGGCTCAAATGCTTCCTCGTCAGTTGCACATAAAGTATTTTTATCGAAGCTGATTTTCTCTGAGATGAAAACATCCCATTGGAATCACCTCACTGAACACCTGCAGTGCATCCTCAAGATTTCTACAACACAAAACCTTTACCCCAAACAGTTTTGCCACCCCAAAAACCATCCAGCATCACGCTCTGACAAAATGGTGTACGAACAAAGGAACGTGAATTTGGATTTATGAATTGTTTTACCTTTTCATTTTTTTTATTCATATATTCTTTTCATGAAAAGCCACATATATTAAGTTATTTTATAAATTTTGTTTCCTGCCACATTAATGTGGAAAAATGTTTTGTTTTGGTCAGTTCAGTCGATGTCTATCGTATCCAGGCAGCCACTTAGTAAGCTTTGAGTTTTAAGCCCCTGCGCAATTGAGTTAGACACCCCTGATTATACAGTCTCTATCAAAAATCAGTACACCCCTCACATTTTTGTAAATATTTTGTCTTTTTTTGGGACAACACTTGGAAATTACACTTGGCTGCATTGTAATGTGTGTATCTCTTTCAACTCCATGGCCAAGAGAGTTAAGGTATGGTTGGAAAATGTGCCACACAAATTTTGGACATTTTCACTTGAGGGGGTGTACTCATTTTTGTTGCCAGTGGTTTAGACATTAATGGTTGTGTGTTGTTATTTTGAGAGGACCGTAAATTCACTGTTGTACAAGCTATACACTACTATGGTAACGATGTAGCAAAGTCAGCAAAATGTCTTCAGTGTTTTCCAGTGAAAACATGTTTTTGTGGCCGCAAAATGTGAAAGAAATGAAAGCCTATATTTTTATGATTCGGAAGTTGATACACATTACACTTTAAAAAAGAAAAAAAGAAGAAAAAAGGGCCCATCCCTTCCCTCACTTGGTCGGAGCTGTTCATTGAGGTGCGGTGTGAAACTGTTAAGCCTGTTTGGCCTGTTACTTGTTTTTTTTTGGGCAGGGAGGTACTAGTCATCACTGTTGTTGGCTTTTCATACAACCTGGTCGAGCACTCAATTCTTCATCACAAAGTTGCACACTGGTTTTCTTCAGCTGTTTGTTGTTCGCCCCTCCTCTTTTCCACAGTGGTTCTTCTGGGCTTACTAGCGGTCTTGCAGAGTTTATGCGGAGCTGTTTTTAGACCCAGCATTCCTTCCAAGATTGTCATTTGATTTTAGTATTGTGTTGTGATGCTGCTTGTCATATGACCAGCAGCAAGGCAAGTGTGGCTAGCAGCCATGAAGCTTGCCAGCCCAATTATCTGGAAGGAAAAAAAAGTCAAGCCTAACCTCTGCTCATGTTTAACCTACCATCATTTAATGTCATGGTTACACTCTCTGCAATCTCAGTGTGAGCTGCATGCTGCACATCCACAACTCTTTTCATGCCCCCCCCCTCCAAAAAAAAATCCAAACTGCTTTTGTGCAGTGTTACTAATTCCTAATAACAAGACAGTGGAAAATATGCTTTTATTTGTTTTTACACAAGGCCTGTAGCTTTGAATACTTTGGAGTTTTTTTTTCCCCTTAATGAATAAAATCACCATTTCAAAATTGCATTTTATGTTTATTTGGGTTATCTTAATCCCATATTGACGTTTAATGATCTGTAACATTAATGTGAGTTAACTATCCAAAAAAATAAGAAGTTGACAAGAGGCCAAATATTTTTTTAATGGCACTTGCATGATATACAGTATATATATGTATGTATGTATGTATGTATGTATATGTATATATATATGTATGTATATATATATTTTTTTTAAATAAGCAATGTTTCTTCATATTTACCACTTTGTAGATGGGCCTGGTATGCCCTCGTAAAGTGAATAGGAGAAGATTATTGGTGATGAATACACATTACATTCAGAACATACTGTACAATAGGGATGTTGCAGTAAGACATTTCTCTTCATCTCTCGACTAATTTTTTCCCCCCTGCTCATCCTCTCTCTTTCTCATGTGTTGGGACTGTGCTTGTATGTTAGTTTGACATACAGTCTCATCTGACCAAAGTCCATTCACTTTCCTTGTCCTCGGAATCTACTGAGGAATCCTTCTGCACTGTTCAAGCAGACCAGGTGTGTACGCTCCCCCGAGTTGCGCGTGTGTCTGAAGGACAGTTTGTAATTGATTTTGCTCTACTCATGTCAATACTCCAGTGTTGTGTTCTCTCCCAAAATTCCTAGCTGACTTTGAAACATTTTACTTTTTATATACAAAGTACAGGAGTCTAAACTTTCGACCATTTGTCCTCATCTCGACATCAGTCATCACTTTTTTTTATATTGTTCTGGACCTCAAAGGAGCCCCAGAGGTTGTTACTTGGTGTTCATTTTTTTTTTCCTGACGCACCAAGCTCACGGATTCTAAAATTTCTTTTTAGAGGCAGTCAATACTGCGTTACGAATTGATGCAGCCTGCTGCCTATAGCAATATGTTAGTGTTCTTTACACGTGTTCACATTGCATAAGTTAATTTGGACCTTTCCTAATTCAATACATCGAACAAAATAAACATGAACTGGAAAAGGTTTCTGCTCAGACCGTACTTGTACAAAATCGAATGTACACTAATTGCTACTTTCAAAAGCAACTCCTGGCTCCCAAATTGATTGGCAATAAATAATTTGGCTCCATTCAACAGTGAATAGTTGCTCGTGAATCCATATCCTAAAGAATAGAAAGTTATGCCTCACCAAATTTATAAAAAAATAGAAAGAGGTTTATTTGTCTGTCCAAAGTAGCTGGAGAGTTGTTGGGCCTCAACTATTAATACCAACTTCTCATGTTACCAAAGGCACGCTTCGTTGTACAAAAATAGATTTAATGCCATTTTTAAAGTATTGGTCTCTTGACTGCAACAAAGGGAATTGGGCTGTCTAAAAGTGTCACGTTTCTGAATAGTACAAAGTATTGTTCCAGTTTTGTCCATATTTATAGATCTTAGATGACCTGCATGACTTACAATAACGTGTCTATAGCTTCCATGCCAAGTGGTAAATTGTGCGACAATTTTCTTCATATTGGCTGATTGACAATACTCAGTATTTAGTATTGTAAGCTACTCAGTGGTTACCCAGTGTTGTTGTTGTTCTGGTGCAGAGAAACGTATTTCACGAGAGGCGAAACCAAATGGAGCAACAGATGTCATTTTGGTGAAAAACCCATCATAGCTAGTTATCGTGTTACATCCACTTTAAAACAGTATCCCCTTGGCAGTTTTCTGCCATCTCGTTGTCACGTTTCATGAGCGTTACTCTCAAATGTTAACATCAACTGTTAGCAAAATGCTAAATGAAGAACAAAAAGAGGGGTCAAACTCGGAATAAAGTTTTACATCAGAAACTTGTCATCTGTAATTCGGTGCAAAGTGGAGCGAGAGAAGAGGTACGCTTCTTTTATTTTCCATCCACTCCCGTCTCCAACAACGAGACCGTTTCCCCCTCATTAAGCTGCTCTTTAAGAACCAGCTTGCGGTCCTCTGAGGGACAGCACAGCTCAACTAAACTGAACAAGGAATGAATCAGTTCATGAAGTGATTCTCTTCACTTCTGTTCACTCAGATTCCTTCATTTGAATGTGTGTTTCGCGAACGACACAAAACTACTCCTTCCCAGCAAAATATTTTGTATTCAAATGCGCAGTGACACACTTCACTACCATCATGCCCTTGCACTTTTCCTTTGATTTACGCAGTACACTGTACTTGTATTTGGATATTTGAAACCACCATTCTCAAAATCGACTTTTGTTTTTCTCGTGTGGGCAGAGGACACCATCTTTTAGTCGTAGTCAACGTGCACCATCTGTGGCTGATTCCATGGCAGAGTATTTTGATGCCAGTGAAGTGATTTTGTGTGAGACCTCCTCTGAAGCGGAGGCTTCAGATGAATCCGGTCTGAGTGACATCACCACAACCAGCACATCGGAGCCTGACGAAGGACAGGGTGAGTGTTTCCAAGCCTTCCGAAGGGAATGACTGTATGACTGACTGATGACTTCCTTTAGTTTGAAATTTTTGTTCACACTTTTTTTTTTTAATTAATCATTTGGCGTGTGAGCATTTCCTCTCCGTTGCTCATCACATCAGCTGACGCAGAGAAAACATCTTATTTGGTTCACGAGAGCAGTTGGAGAATCCAGATCATTTGAATAAACAGAATTAAGACTTGCGGCTTTCATTTTTGTCTCCTTCAGCCAACGCCAACCTCAAATACAGAGCCAGTCTCAGGAATGCGACTGACAAACCCACCCCCATATCTGACACAGGTATCATTGTCGCTCGTTTTTTTTTCCTTATTCGTATTACAGCAGCAATCTACGGAAAGACACAATTGATCTGAGTCACTGTAAATTTCTGTTTTAATGCAGTTAAAGCAAGGGAGAAAGGTGTCATTGCAGTTAAATGTTAGTTGTATGTTTAAAGTCAATGAAATTGTTTGAAATGTTGCTTTCAAAAGATAAGGACTGTCCCTTCCCAGGATGTGGGTTAATTTTAACACTGTGGTATGTTTTGCAAATGCTTCTATTTAACCCTTTCAGGGACAGCGGTTACTACAGTGGACAGCTTATGTTATCAGGTTATAGGGTGTATGAAAGGGTAGAAGGAAAAAAATAATAATTTTGTGTTCCTGCGATCCAGGTCGCCGCACTTGTATCCCAGCCCCAGGAACGGACAACAGCCACATTGGCATCATGAGCATCCTGTACAACAACATTGGCAAGGACCTTTCGAGGGTTTCCATGCCCGTGGCTCTCAACGAACCTCTGTCTTTGCTCCAGAGAGTGTCAGAAGAGCTGGAGTACTCTGAGCTGCTTGACATTGCTAATCATACCGATGATCCATATGAGCGTATGGTAAGTCTGAAGTCTGAAATCCCCAAATCGAAATCAACTCAGTTTTAAAACTGTTTCTTACCCTGGGCTCCCAGGTATATGTTGCGGCATTTTCTATTTCTGGCTATGCGTGGGCATCCTGGAGGAATCGCTACAAACCTTTCAATCCTGTTCTTGGAGAAACATATGAGAGTCACAGAGAAGACAGAGGTTTCCGCTATGTTAGTGAGCAGGTAACCTTCCCATTCTATCGGTGATTGGCAAGAATAATGCCACTCATTGGTTTTGGAACTTATCGAATGCTCTGTTGTCTACAGGTTAGCCATCACCCTCCCATCTCTGCCTGCCATGCAGAGTCGACAAACTTCACTTTCTGGCAAGGTATTGACGTGTGTGGCCGGTGTACATTTCTGTCTTGTCCGTAGTGCTGTGTCATCAGTTTGCTTTTGTTTTCTCAAGATCAAAGATGGAAGAACAAATTTTGGGGGAAGTCGGTAGAGATCATCTCCAGTGGACCTGTCAATGTTACTTTGCCCAGGTCAGGTGGTGCTTCTTTTGGACCCACATGCTAAAAGTTCTGAAGAATTCATATTTCCTTACAATGGGCTAATTGGACAATATCCACCCAAAAAATCAAATGGACTGTGCGTTGGTGTCAATTTAGGATTCCCCAGTGCCGATGTGCTGTTGGCTGTGTAGTGACGCGCCTCCCATAAATGATCCCATTCTTTGAGCTGTATCTTTGTCGTGAAGGACAGGAGCCACAGCCAATTAGGTTTTTTTGTTTTGTTTCCTGTTCGTCGCATGTCAGGATGTATGGCAGGTCGGTGTGTCCGCAAGAAGTCGAAGGGGGAAGGAGGAGGTTACTAACGGGCAGCACAGTGACTTCACAAATTGGAGCGAGGGAGACACACGCATGTGAAAGAGCGATAGAGTGAAAGGCTCCACTCACGGCTATGGTGGAAAAAAATGAGAATCTAAAAACCAAGTTAAATTTGGACACCTTTTGAAGTTTATGGATAGTTCAATGGCTGGGTATAGACTTGGCACAATTATAATTTCACAATGGGCTGACAATACCAACACACATTAAGCAACTACTTCAAGTAGAGGAGAAAAGACACGGGTAAGGATTACCTGCTGCCAATCAATGTCTCCTGCAACAGTTGCTGCCCCTAAAATGGTTCATTGCACAAAATTATGACCTTTTTTTTTTCATGGCCCTTTGTATTTACATTTGCTTTTTGTAGCTCTTTGTGATAAAGCAATCTAAATATTTGAAACTTCTGAACACGTAAAATTTACTGTAAAAAGCGCAGAAGTTTTTGAAAGCTCGTTTACTATATCTCCAAATGTATGATTGAACCAAACCAAATGTGTTTAGGTCTGGTGATCACTATGAATGGAACAAGGCAGTTACTTGCATTCACAATGTGCTGAGTCAGCAGCGTTGGTTGGAGCACTATGGTGAGGTGGTCATCAGAAACAAAGAGAGCGATGTCTGCACCTGCAAGATTAGTTTTGTCAAGGTCAGAATTTCTTTTTTTTTTTTTTCTTCCCGTAAATCCGCTGTTCCTGTTCTCATTACTTCCTCTCTGTACGCAGTCTCGGTACTGGACTTCGGACAGCAGTAAAAATGGGGTTCAGGGTGTGGTTCTGGACCGGGCTGGAGAGGTTGTCCATCGTTTCGGAGGCTTCTGGCACGAGGGCATCTTCTGCGACACGCTGCCGACGCCAAAGTGCATTTGGAAGCCAAGTAATGTCTAATCCACATCCAGCGCAATTTTTCCTTTTATTGCCTTGTGCTCTGACAGCTCCATTTTTAAATGTCCTTTTTCAGATGTGCAGCCCGATGACCACTTCCAATACTATGGCTTCTCCCACTATGCCAGAGAGCTAAATGAACTTACACCTGAAATGAAAGCTGTCCTTCCACCAACAGACACACGTTTTAGACCAGACCAGAGGTAAGTAGTGGATTCCCACTTTACATTTGGATGCAATCAAGGACCAAAATCCGAACGCATTTAAGACAACCAACTAAAGCTTCACAAGCAATTTTTTTTTTTTTTTAAATTAAACATTGAAAACTGTTTCTGTACGTTGTGTATGAAAGTCGCATTCAAGACTATAGTGGCGGGGGAAAAAATGGTTACCAATGACTCAGTTAATTGCAGGGCTTAAAGATCTCCGTCACCACAATGGAATTTCGTCATTTGGAAAAATTAAGAAGGGGAAGGAAAAAACCCCAGCCATGCGCGCTTGACAGTGTCGTCCATTCATTTAGTTTAAAATGTCAATGCGCACAGTTATATGCACTATTGTTGCACATCTGTCCTGACAGCTGGAATGTGTCTTAAGTTTTATTTTGTATGTGCTGCCTGAACTATTCAGTGAATGGAACATGTCATCCAATCACTATACACATGAGTGGCAGGCGGAAGGCGACGGGGGCTGCAGGAAAACAATTCACTTTTTAACTAACTTGGCTAGCGGCGCAGGGGAAATTGACTCGGCAATTAGCAACAGGCTTTTTATGGAGGAAGGTGCCGCGTTTGCTAACATTGACAGTGAGTCAAAAATAGATACAGGTAGAGAGAAGCATGGCATGACGAGAACGTGTGGAAATCATCATTCAGCAAGTCAATTGCAAAGAGAAAGTGATGACTCGGCCATGGGAACACAATTTTTCTTTCAAATGTGGAGGAGTGTCCCACCTGAGAGAAGTCCACGTCCCTAGCCTGGGACTGATTCCGAGTTTGACAAAACCAACATTGGTCAAAATAACATTGTAAGATGTGTCGAGAAGCAGTTGCCATGGAGAGCAACTCGCTGGCACTTCTGTTCCTCAAAAAAAACATTCAGCAACTTTTCGCAACTCCAAATGCAAGACTATCGCTGAAGAAGAGAGGACTAAAGCTGAGCAACACACCAATGCAACCCTCTCCAAGTTGGGGAAAAAAAACGCTCTGTACCAGTGACAAAGCAAATAAACATTGGCGAGACATCACAAATGCCGGCATCACCTACATTGCTTTATGCAAGTAGCTAAAAGTTATTCGAAATTCATCACTGAACATTTGCTTCTCACACACTTGCACTCCGCATCATGTCTACATTAGCAACTACATGTATATCGTGATGTGTCGGAAGACTTCGGAAACTATTTGTCGAAAGGTCGCGGCTGCATTTGTTGTCACTTTTTTGCTGGGCAGTGATCGGTCAGGAGGCTGAGTGTGAATCTTAATCCTCTTTCGGGCTTCTTCTTCCCTTAGATACCTTACAGCAGACAAAGGAATACAAAGGAAATCGTTTTTTGTTTTTTAATAGCACTGCAGATAGCAAACAAATAATTTTGAAATTAACCCTAAAAAAATGGATGTTTGTTTCATCCACAATTGTACTTTGTTTAAATTAAGCAACAAAAAGTACCGTACTTCAACGTGCAAATTTGTATTGAAATGGAAGTATTTTATCATGTCACCCAATCTTTCTATCAGGCTCTTAGAGGAGGGAAAAGTAGCAGAGGCGGATAAAAAGAAGGATGAAGTGGAGGAGAAACAAAGGGAGAGGAGAAAGGAGATGGCCAAGCAAGGGAAGCAGCACATCCCGAGGTTCTTCAGGTGAGACGAAAGATTTTTGATGTATCAAACTCCTACTTTAAGCTTTTTTTAATTTGCCCCCCACAACCCCCCCAAAAAAAAGCCATTCTTAGTTGATGGCTTTTAGTTTCCTTTCAATGCACTTGTTAAAAGTATGTGATGGCGAACTAAAGAGTCCTTTCTGCGTTTTCAGGAAAGAAGTTGATTCGGATGACCGAGAAGTGTGGCTATACAACGGAACGTACTGGAATCTCCGTAAAGAACCGGGCTTTGCTAATACTGAGAACCTAGACCTGTGGTAGGATGTCTGCCTTCGGTTTAGTTCTCAGCTATGGAAATGTAAAAGGAATGATATCCACCACCCTTTTTGTCGAAATTGTTTCACACCCACCTAGAGCGTACCTGAATATATATTACAGAATGCTGCTACTGTCGGGATGGAGAGGCTGAGGAACTTTAAAAGCATCCATGAACCTCTGTTGTTGTTGTTTTGTTTTTTGGACCACAGGGATGAGGTGCCATCTGTGGAACATTTGAAGACATTTTTAACGCTGTCTGATGTTTTAACCTCCCCTTATTGCCTACCTCCTTTAGATAATTCTATGAGCACTGAAATCCTCTTGATTTAAAAGTTTACCTTGCATCCCATTTAGGGGTGCGAGTAAAATAAAATAAATAAATCCTGGTAAAAATGTTCATATGTTACTGAAAATATGTATATTTAATTTTATAAGCCAAGCCAAAAATCATATTTCCTGTCATTTTTAGTTGGGCTAGGGTGTGGGAAGTTTTACACGTGGACTGGGGATGTCCGTTTTTTGGACTTTTTACCGACGAGATGCACACTGTATTTTAACGTGGTCACAAAGGTCCTTTGTAAATGTAGCACTATTCCTTGATGTTCTTGCTCACTTCAAAGATTGTCCCAATATATTAGAGAATATCATCATCATCTCTTTTGACTTTAAAATTTTCACTTGAAGGAAAATACTCTTGAACCCCAGTCACATTTTCCTCCGACTGTTTAGCTTTGTAATAAAGTGTTTGATAATCAGCTGATTTACTTCCTGGTTTTAATGAATTAAATGAATCTCTACTCCATTTCGAGCTCCATATTCGATTCATTCAGCCTTCTGATCGTTCCGTTGGTTTGTTTTATATTATCTCCTCACTTTCTGACAGTATCAGCAGTTTTATTCACGCGTGCGTCAAAATTACAATGCTTTTTTTTTTTTTTTTTTTTTTTTTTTTTTTGTGAATGCATGTTGACTATAAATATTTTGGCCAAAAAGCAATAAGGGAACTTGAAGTGAAATATTGTATATTTTTCATTTGTGGCTATAAACAATTGCACTATAATTATTTTCATTGGAGAACAAGTACAAAGATCCCAGTAAAATTACATAAATAAGAAGATAAAACTAATAGAGGGGTCCTGTTCACCACATGTGAAACTGTGAAATACTCTAAATGCATAATGAACATTTTTGGAAACTTTGTGACAATTTCTGCTCGATAATTCAGGAAAGAATAGTAATGAAATAAAGGAGGGCACTTTCCATGACGCATAGGCACATACAGGCAAAGCATTCCCTCCACGTGGAGGACGCAAAGCCAGAAAAAAATGGGTTACATGAAAGTCTTGTCTATTTTGTTTCTCTGGTCTGTGTTTTTTGTTTTATTCTATTAGAGTCCAATAGTGTCCGTGTTGTAATTATTTAAAATTTCAGAATTTGCACGTCTTATTCAAATCCATGGGTGACATTGGAACTGGAGCAGCGAGGAGCAGGGATTCTCCCTTACCTCTAGCACACTCCCTCACTGAACGCGGAAATGGCACTGTCCAACGGCGCCCTCTATTGGTAAAAGTATTGTACTAAAACTGAGGAGGCGATAGGGAAGTACCCGTTCTGTCTCCAATCTCCATTCAGGTCTTAAGTGTCGTATTTTCAGATGCGTGTGCTATCCATTCGGATATTGCATCTATTGGGTTGACATGGTGACTTTTTTGGGTCATTTTTGAGTTCATCCTCATCCTCCTGGGTGTCAAGGTCAGGGAATGTTAATTGTCCATATTGGCCATGTGAAGCCCTTTGAGACTTTTCTGTGATAAAGGGCCGTATGAATAAAATAGACATGACTCATTATGATTGAAATCATTCTTAATTGAAGACCTCTGGTGTGCCATTTACATGACTGACTCTCAACTGGTTAAATCAAGGTTAAATAAGGTTGTGTGTCGGTTGCGTATCGAGCTAAGGATATATTCCCAGAAATTTAAGACACAGTGTTACACAATTTTTCGTTGTCCACTATGGTATTGAAAATCACGGTGTAAAAATATCAGAATGAAGAATCAAGATTAATTGTGTGGCCATCACAGACTTGAAAATGATTTGAGATTATGTATTACACACTGTAATACATAATCTCAAATCATGTAATTTACAGTACATGTTGACAGGTGACATTTTTCAGAGTCCCCGGCAGTCTTTTTGAGATACTGTACTACTATTTCAATCAGCAATATACAGAGAACTGCAGATGTACAGTCAGTGATACAGGACACCTAATCGATATTTATTTCTTTTGTACTTACAAAGGGCAGGACAAACACAAAATGCAGTAATAAATCAAACAAAAAGCTTTAATTGTTTCAACACAGATGTCGCCATTGTTGTGACAAAGTACATACTAAATTGTTCTACATGTTTTTTTGTTTTTTTAATAATTGTGATAGCATCCGTCAATTTGACCCAAAAAAATCATTAGGTTTCCTCTACTCTAGCACTGACCGAGTTTGTCTACAATTGAGTAAATCGTAATCTTAAAAACATGAAGGCAATGATTGATATCTTGTCAATATTTTACTGAACACAGCACAAAGACAAGTTGGTCATATTCAAATTCAATTCCTTTTGTAATTATACAATTGTTTTGGATGTAATATCTGTTCATGCAGAGGTGGCAATTCCAGGTCCAGAAATGAAAAACCCTGCCACGGGCTGGGTTTAGCCAACAGTCGCTTCTACTCAACTGACAGGAGCTTGTATAACTGCCATTTGAGACAATGTGGCAAGGTTTTTAATTTCTGGACCCGGATTTGCCACCCATTTGGTCAGAGGTGGATATGGCCACAAATACCACTGTGATATGAACTACTTCTCCCAACTAAATGTGAATTTAGTTCAAACCAAGGCACTTTCATTAACAACACAAGGAAGTGGAAGTTACAAGTATTTATTTATTTTTTGCTGTAGTTTTTGTTTGTTTGTTGGGCCCCCCCACCCCATTTCAAACAAATATTGCTGATGAAGCATTGCACATAGTTAGCTAGTTTGTGTTGGTGCCATATGGATACTGGTCCCATGTACTAGTTAATATTACCCAGACCTGTTTATTGGTTATATTTCCAATGCTTCATTATTTCACACTTTTTTTAACCCATACAAATCTGATTAGAGAGACAAAAAAAAAACCCCACTGCTTTCTTCATTCTCCTCTTGCCTTGCAACACTACTAGTGGAGCTTCACTTCTAAATCATGAAGCAATTGCATCTCTTCATGTCTCAAGGAAGAAAAATCAGCATTTCCATACCGTAAAATAAAATCCGTTCCTCTTTAAGGATGGATTATAATGCGGTTTTGGTGACATAATGGAAATCTGAGGTGTCCATGTCCGGTCCTCGAGAGCCCCTATCCAGCCTATTTCAGATGTCTCGCTCTACCAACATGCCTTGGTCAAAAGATCATTGTCAGGCTTCTGCAAAGCTTGCTGACGAGCTGATTCTTAGAATCAGGTGTGTTGGAGGAAGGCGACACCTAAAACAGGCTGGATAGGGGCTCTTGAGGACTGGATTTGGGCACCGCTGATGTACCGTATTGGCCCGAATATAAGACGGTGTTTTTTGCATTGAAATAAGACTGAAAAAGTGGGGGTCGTCTTATATTTGGGGTCTAGACATTATACCCATTCACGACGCTAGATGGCGCCAGATATCATTGAAGCGAATGCTGAACTTGACTCCCCAGGCCAAAGTGAACCCCTGTCACAAAGAATAAAAATAAAAATAGCGGTAGCACGAAGAAGAAAAATAAAAAATAGCGGTAAGAAAGAAAACAGAAGAAAATAATAGCAGAGATAACAGAAAATGGAGAAACGTAGCGACAATCTGGAGAAAAGTGTGTCGAAGATTGGCCAGGTTAACTGGCAGCTGAGGAGAAGTTATGATGTAATTTACAATTCAAAAACCAGAAGCCATTCATTTACGAATGTGACTGCACTTTAGTTTACATATTTAAATGTTCAGATATTAAGATTTGAATGAGGCAAAATAACATGCTTTTTCTCTCAAATATATTGTTCTAATCATTTGTTTCAGATGTACTGTAATTATTTTCTGTATAAAAATTAATTTGGTGTTCAAAAAGTCTTTTTTTCAAACTTGAGTCTTGAAAAAGAGGGGGTCGTCTTATAATCAGGGCCGTCTTATATTCGGGCCAATGCGGTATATGCATGACCTTGGCGTACAAAAAAAAAAAAAAAACAGACAAGAGAAGATGAAAAAAAGATTGACAACCAGAAAATAACCTGTGGAGAGTTTGCTGTAAAAAGGGTGCTGGTTTGATTTTTACAGTCTGGATAATAAGATAGAAGCCCTGTTCAAAGTATGTAAACTCAATAAAGACTGTGAACTATTGCTGTAAGTCTGAAACCTTATCAGACACAAAAAGTCGAATTGGAAAGGGTGTTCATTGGGAGAGTCAGATCTTGCTGTTCTCCAAGTGCGAGTCGATGTGTCTGATGAGGGCATCGTCCGGGTAACCGGTTGGGAAGGTCAGTTGACAAAGAGGACAGCTTCGCACAGCACTCTCGTCGGACTCCATCCATAACTGCAGGGGCAGAGGAAGGCGTGGACTTGAACAACATTGAGCCTCAAACCCAAATCATAATAAACGAAAGTTGGGTTAAAATTCGGGTATACCCATCCATCCATTTTCTGATCCGCTTATCCTCACAAGGGTCAGGCAGTGTGCTATAGAGCCTAACCCAGCTGTCTTCGGGCAGTAGACAGGGGACACCCTGAACTGGTTGCCAGCAAATCACAGGGCACACAGAGATGAACAACCATGTGCGCTCACACTCACACCTAGGGACAATTTAGAGTTCTCCATTAACCTGCCACGCATGTTTTTGGAATGTGGGAGGTAACTGGAATACCCGGAGAAAACCCACGCAGGCACGGGGGCAACATGCAAACTCCACACAGGGAGACACACTGTGAGTCCAATGTGTTAACCAGTCAACCACCAGGCCGCCCAACTTGGGAAAAAGATTTCAGTTCTAAACTTAATTTGACTTCAACCTGACCCATTTTAAAGTTTCTTTAAATGTTTGCATGACGATTGAGGTATTTTCAATTCCTCTCCAAGTTTTTTTTAGTAGCGCCAAAAATGCCGAGCCAAATTTCATGACCATGTTAGCAGGGATGACTATTTCTTATTCGATGGGATATTAACACTGAGTAATGTACACTTTTGTTACTGTATATAACTATGATAAAATGCTAATCGTTCCATTGCCACCACAGTTAATGGCAGTTTTATGATGACATAATTTTTAATGGCTTGGAACAGATTTGATATTTCCGAATTGCTCCAAGGAGATTCTAGTCCAGTGTCTGATGTCTCATTGTCGACCATCCACCGACCTGTCAGGACTCTTCCAAATATGCAACCCAAGAACTTCTCTGACTACCTTTCACCTGGCCAAAACTCTACCACCAGTGCTACACTTCCACTTGTACATTATTAACATCCCATGTCGCACTCACATCCACCAAGCATCTCGCTGGACTCATCACCCCATTCTTTCAACATCTCCACTCACAAACCGGTTTATTTAGAAATGGAAAAATCCTCATTAAATGGACTCTCACACTATTTTAGTTAACACTGGATGGCACCACATGATGCATTAATTGCTGGCCACTCTGCAACCGTTATAACCTGGTCATGCCAGAAAGGGGGTTACCCCACCTGCGACCCCTTCTCAAGGTTTCATATTTTTCCCGATGTTTTTTTTTTTTAACTTTTTCCTTGCCCTCATGGATGTTAAGATCAGGGGATATCAATAATATTTGTCAACTGTGGGCATGTGAAGCCCTGTGAGATTCTCGTGTTTAAGAGCTACATAAATAAATTGGACTTCGACTTGAATTCATGTGACCCTTCATACTGGTTTGTACTCACATTGATAGAGGGCCATGACTGAGCATGCTCAGTGTTCATGTAGGCAGGCAGATGGCGGGAGAGCGTGGTGGGGCCCTCGGGGGCTGAGAATGATGGAATTTGGCCAGCTTTTCTCTGAGACAAGAACAAGGGGTGGTGAAGTGTTTTTTCCCTAAGTGATAAGGGTCCAAGTGTTGGAGGAGGACTGGTGGCCGCTGAAACGTAGGTGCCTACATCCTGTAAAAAGACCACCATATTAATTCTTGCATGCTTTCAAAGCAATAAGGAGCCACGAAGATTCACTTGGAGTGGTAATCACCTCTTCGTCATCTGAGGAGTGTGGGGGTGTCACCAGTGGGGTGGGCTCCGGTCGATCATCCAGGTGACAGAAATGATGTACCTATACATGACGGGCATCAGAGAAGAACATGAGAAATGATGGACAGCATGATTTGAGTATCGACGACTGCCCTGCACTTCAATTAAGGCTCTCAGCTACACCTCAGTAGGCAAAGGGAAGCCCAGATCCAGCGCACAATGATGAGGACTGCCGCTCAGACTGCTGCCCCCATTTCTCTCTGATCTGACTCTTCGGTCCCCGCCAGCTCCATGAGCCGATGCGGGTCTGACCAGGCCCACCAGAGGAGTTTGAAGATGGGATTTGGATTGTCCATAAGTATGTGTCTCCCCGTACAGGGACCTGGGCTTGGGCAGGGTGGATACTGGGTCTCTCATGAGGCGAGGTGGGAGCCTCTGTATCGCTGACGGGTCAGACACCTTACACAGATACAATGAAAAAGTGTCATTACGGTTTGTGCAGCACACTTCAGAGATGTTAGGTGCTAATTTACCTCTGAGTAACTACGGCGTCCCTGGAACTTTGCTCGAAGATTGCTGCTGGTTGGCTGAAGGGAGTAGGAGGCGGGGCCATTGTGCAGGGTGGGTGGGGAAGAGGGCAGCCGTCTCTCAGGGGTGAGGGAAGTACACTGGGGGGATGTGGGAGAGAGACGCTGGGGAGCGGAGGGGGGACGACCAGCTGGGAAGTGGGAAAATATACATAGTGAATAAACCCAAGATTGGTTTATGTGGTGGTGAGGAAAAATACTTCAAAGAACAACTACTTTGTGTAATGTCCGGGTTTTGTGCCGCCCTCTGCTGGTGATTTTCTATTCTGTTTCAGTTTCCTTCGAGTGTGTCGGGGAGTGGAGTTTCCTGTGTCTCACCGAGTGGCAATCATAATCAGCAAGGTAGATTGTTGGGAAATTGTTGCTTTTCGCTGCCACAGCAGTTTGTTTAACCTCGTGCTTGTTCCCGTATTATCCTTGTAGTAGTACATCTCATCTTCCGTTTCCCAAGTATTACTCAAGTGTTATTTTCTGTTTTTGATTTTGACTTTGTCTTGACGTGACAGTCATGTCGAAATGAAGACCAAGCAGTAAGATATACATATACGCACAATAAAGATTGTTGGCTAAACAGTGACGAGTTGATTATAAGTAGCAGAATTTCAGTTAAATTTATCAGCAGGTATGTAAGTGCAAATATGGAATAAATAACATAACGTAATATAATGAGTAAAATGCTTATGAATAACCCGAAATAAGTATGAGTCAAACTTATTAAGACATTAATTGAAAGCAAAATACTAGTCTTACACAAGTACTTCTACACCCCAAGCATTCTTTTTTCACGCAGCGTGACTCCCTAATTTGCCAAACATTGACGTCATCGGCACAAGTTGAGGCCCAGTTTGTCATTGGTCAAAGGAGTTTCTTGGAAACGACATGCTCGGAATCGGGGCTTCATTTGGCATCCCCATTTTTGCTCAAGACACGCCCCCAAAGCTTCAGTTCATATGGCGCATCACAAATATTATTTATTTATTTATTTTTGTTTACTATCTTCCTCGCGTGGCATTCCACCCACGGTTTTACTCTATACCATTTGTCACGTTCCTTTTTGTTATTTGTATTTATTCAAGCTTGAATGCTCATTTGATTCATTCAAATCTGGAAAACTTGCTCTTCTTGAGTTGCAAAACAGTGATTTTACACCCTCCTGACACTTGTAAAAAGAAAAAAAAAAAGACTACTTTTTAGAGTTTGTCCCACGCATCCTATATTATTTCCATCCAAAATGCAAATTTTTTCCTGTAAAATACTTTGCAAAATCAGCTATACTTTTCGTGTGGTAAGCATGGTAGACACTTACTAGGTTCTTGTGGGATCTGACGCAGAAGGTCGCCTTGTTTCGCTGTCAATTTTCGGACTTGACCCAACTCCTCTGTCAGCTCAGTGTAGGCCAAAGCAAGGTTAACTCTGAAACACAGCACGATGGTGGCCTCGATATTCAGGCACCGCGACGATAAGCTGAAAAATACACAGCTTACTGTTCATCCCCAGCTTTCTTGATCCATTCTACATCACAGTGCTCACAGTGTGGGGCCAACTCCTGTTCCAGATAGATGAGAGTCAGAGGATTTTTGAGTTAGTCATCACTTGAGATACACATTCTCACCTGACATTTGGCAGGGTGAACTCTGGATTAAATTTTTTTTTTTTTTTTTTAGTATTATTTTCTAAAACCAATAATCCACAATCTGATGGGTGGTGTATTTCACAGTTTTGGAGCAAACTAATTTCTACTTGACTAAATGTTAACAATCCTGACCCTCGAAGTTTCCTCTTACTTCAACCGTTGATCACTGTTGACTGTATCCACAGATTATATTCTACTGAGACAGTTGGTGGCAGTCACTTTTTGGGGGGGCTTTTCTTCATTCCCTTCCATTTAATTTACATCAAACAAGGGTGTGAAGTCAGGCAAGACAAAGACGGGCGGAAACCGAAAGGCAAGCCTCTGCGCAACAGAATGATTTACAGTAGATACGCATCCCCAATTCTCAGATCCATACATAAACCCCATCCATTTTGGGTCGCAGTGTTTGCCGATGGATTGGGCTAAAATCACATGGTTGAATTTTCACCAGTGCAACAATGGGCTGCCGATCAACAACCGCTGCGCGGCATATCCTCAGATGAAGCTAGCACCCAGAACACGGAAGGCAAAGCTCAATCAACGACTGCAGCATGCACAAGTTGCAGAATCTACAGTCGTTCTTTGCCGATGCGTATGTGGAACTGGGAGCCGCGGCTTGGAATTGAAGCAGATTTACATGGGATAGGAGATGTGAGCCAATCTCTTTTTTCGTCAATGGACGCTACAGCTTCTTGTTTGTTTTCAAAACTTAGCTTGTAGCAGACGTGCACATTTTGAGCATGACGTCTCTGATCCACTGGTGAAAGGACACTTTGATTCACTCCTCTTTCATCTATAACTGCTTCAAACAACAAAGCGTCTGCAGCGAAAGGTGGCTAGGATTGCATGACTGTTTTATGTTATTTGTTGTATTATATTATGTTGTCATTATATTATTATGACTTCAAGATGGTGCCGTGTGAGTGGCTGCCTTTGCAGCAGCTCCTGTACTTTTTTGTTCTTCTACTATCTTCCTTTCATAACTTTACTGCTGTAAATTGGGAATTTCTCCATTGTGAGACGAATAAAGTTTTTCTTATTCTTATTTTTAAGATTTTTGAACACATGGAACACAGGAAAAAAAAACCCAGACTGAGTACTGTTGAGTATGGTTATATTTTTTTTACTTATACATCTTCTTCTTGCAAATGTTTAATTCATTTGCAGATACTAATTCACAGCATTCCATGCTCCTTTTTATTCACATCCCCGTTAAGGTCACACCCCATTGTATTGCTTAAAAAAACAACCTGATCAGTTTTAAAAGTGCTAAATGGCCTACCTCTTTGTGTCTGTGCGCTTCTTGTAGCTGGGCTACTTCCTTCTGCAGTCTCTGAAGCTCAGTTCTCAACTCCTTCTCTCTCTGACACGCACCCTCAGCCTGATGCAGCGCTCCCTCCAACTCGGCCTCCAGACGCTGCAGCTTGAGGTCCGAGAGCGCGTCCAGACTGCGGGAGCTCTGCAGCGTTGGCGAGCGGCCCTCTTTCGACAGCACAAGGACAAAACGCTGAGGATGGATTCCACCTCTTCAATCAGTGGTAATGTTTAAAATGTGTTGTTCCATGCTGCCAGATAGGATTTAAAAATTGTTGAGCGTTTGTGAAATGAATTGGACTTCTTATCTCCGGTTGAGAGTAAAATTCCAGTTTCTTTTCTTTTTGTGTTACGGCAAAGGTACAGGGCCTCCATTTAAGATTGCTCAAAAACCGGCCTCCAATCCAAACCACATTACCGGCGGTACAATAGGTCCATTTATCGATGCATCAATAAGTCACTGATTCAATAGACTGAAAGACCAGAACAGTTATTCATCAATGCCGCATGGTACGTTGGGAGCCCATTGAAGTTGCTCCAAACTCACCTCGAGGTACAACCAGGCTTGCGGGCGGATGGCCTTGATGTGCGTCTTTGCTATGGAGTTGAGCATTGAGTTTTTGCAGGGAAGTCTCTCGTTGTCTCAGCGCGGCCTCCAGACTGCAGATTCGCTCCATATGCTGCTCAGCGAGAGTGGTCTAAAATGTCAAGATAGGTTTGAAATGGTATTTCAACTGATAAGAGCCACAATAAACGGCAGCGTTTGCATTGTGCGCGTATGTGTTTAACCATCTTGTCAAGATCTCTCTGGACGTTGCTTTTCTCGAGGTGAATCTTCTCGTAGGCTTGAATGACATCCTCCAACTCCTCCTCCCTGTCTTTGCTCTTCTGGAGCTGAGGGCGACAGACAGAAAGCAAGAGAAAGAGATCTGAGCGCTTTAAGAAAAAAAAAGGGGGGGGGTTCTCAAAATAGGATCCCTACGGAGGAGGATGTTTTTCCAAAAGGACTCAGTCATAATCCGGATACCAAGTGTACTCTTAAATGCCATCGGAATGATTTATTTTTGGAATACACTTTTGCCAAAGTATTCATGAGCTGTTTAGGAGAAAGGAAAGTAGACCAATTCAAATGAAGAGATTATATTTAAAACATTTTCCAACTCATCAAATGATTTTTTTTTTCTTTTAAGGGACAAGGAATTATTTTCACATTGTATTGTCTGTGACAAGAAAGCAATCACAGATTTCATCACGCTGAACATTACCAAAGGCAGTGTGGCCGTTCAGCCATTACAAAACTTCATTTTTTTTTTTCAACATCTTGGAAGGTTTCAACTCGAAGTGGGAATTTCCAAGATGCAAATATTTGAAGTGGGAGTAAGTCGCATAGGTGGAAGTTGCACAAGTTGTCTCAAGTTGTAAACTTGAAGTCTCAAGCAAGTCCTGAGTCATTGCGGAAACAAATCAAGCAAGTCGAGCTGCGTCGCCAACAAATTTCAGGCAAGTCATGTCATCACTTGGTTCAAGCTGGTCATAAGTCAAGTCATAAAATCTTGCTCTGTCATAACATATGGTGGAGTGATGAAAAAAAATCACTGTGATCATACTACAATAAACATCAAATGAACATTGACACCTCTCAAAATGATACAAGAAAGAACTTATGAAATGGATGTCAACACTTAACGGAAGGATTCATTCATTTTACAAGTGGCTTGGTTGGTAGTGATTAATTAGCTGAAAAATCCTCCTCTATGTTGATATCACTTTTATGGCAACATTTTCAACGTACGGTTACATCCATACAATAGACACAAACATCGAGCAGGACACAAAGAAAAACAATGCCATAATGTATTGCATAAATATACAAAGGGGCGATCAGAAACAGCAAACCTGGCATGTTATTCCACAATTCTTACAAAGTGTATTTATGCAAGTTTTATTGGCGAAGAGAAATCATTTACAGTTTGAGAGGGGACACGCCACGCAAGTGACATTAAAAACCAACGCTGTGCTGAGTATTTTTAACAAGCCAGAGGCAGGCTGACCTGCGCAAGGGAGGATCAGTCTCGAACCTTTGCAACCCCCTCAAGCGCTAGCTTGTGGGGTGTTATGTCCATAATGCGAGCGGAGCCACACTAGTAAATTAAACCGCTGAGATACCCAACCAAAGAAGCACTCTGTTCATCGTAAGGTAGTAAGACATGTATTAATTCTAGCATTGTCCATGCGTGGCAAATAAGCACCATGTCTGCTGTACTTCCTGGTCTACTTGTTATCCAAAGCGTATTTTGTGACATCAAGAAAACCATCCGGCACTGCATCGTTAACATTAAAAGTAGAGTCTCACTCGGTAGACTTATTTCGTGATATTGGCTGAAAACCATATGGCTTCTATCCATTCGACGAAGCTGTGTGGGTATGTCATCGTGCAGTCTATTCCAAAGTTGACACTTGAATTTTATCTAGTAATGTGTTTAATGAACTTGGCGGCCAGCCATATTATTTTTAAAATATTTTTAAAAGTTCTTATATGTACACGAAAAATAATGCAGTCATCAAAATAATTATAGGCAAAATATGACCTTGTTACTGCTGCAAGTGGCGTACATATGTGAAGTATCCCTTTAAATTATTTCTTCAGTCCGTCAATTTTTTTCCAAGTTGAACCAAATTGTAATCGTCAGTCGGTCAGTACGTCATGGTATTTTAACCGCTCTTCTGTCAGTGAATTTCACCGGTCCGTCAGTCCATCCATTGTGAGTCCCCGCCCCGCCCACCAAAAATAAAAAAAAACATGACATGGTCCAACAGATGAAAAATCGAATACGATTAAAACGATGAATGGAGTGCGCGATCTATCAGTGTATCTACATCACACGGTTTGTGACCAAAGAGACACACACATACATTCACATTCACTTCTTTGCAGTACTGTGGGGGCAGGCTGGTTGCTGCCTGCAGCTCTTTTAATTCCCAAAATGCTAAAAAGGTTTTCATTTAAAACATGTAGAGCAACACACAATACACAGTGGGGAAATGAGGGCAATGGGAAGAATTTTGTCTCAACTACCCAACATTCTCAGTGTAATTCAGATTGAATTTCAAATCGTATTTGTTGGCTGTCATAACATTGTTAGCCAACTGTACCTCTTGGGTGAGAGAATTGATCCTGTGCTGCAGGTTGGATGTCTCCGATTGGACGATGTTGTTATCCTTAACGATGGGTTGACAGGAAAAGTACACTCTCTCCTCTCCAAATGTATTGATCATCGGAAACTATATGCAATTAGATCATATTGAAAGAGAGAAGACAAAACAAGAAGATTGAATGAAGTGGCATAAAGGTAATACATTCAATATATCAGTGTGTTTGCGTGTACAGTGTGTGTCCAGTGGTACCTTAACTTACGAAATAAATTGGTTCTGGAAGAAATTTCTTAACTAGAAATATTTGTAAGTAGAGACGCGTTTTCCATGTAAATGCCCTAATTCGTTCCAAGCCCCCCAAAAATTGAGACATAAATGTTTTCTAAAGCATAAAAATGCACCAAAATATGTAACAAATACATGTTACAATTACATTATTGCACAATAAATGAGAGTTGTGGATAATGTAAAACACAAAGAATAGAGTATATAATAAAAATGATGGTCATTTAACTTTTAACTTCGTCCCCATTGTTTTTTTTTTTCTGCCCTCTTTAGTCCATGTTCTCGCACAGAAATGGTTTTTGCCTGCGTTTTGTAAAGAACTGATCCAAGAACGTTTGGTTTTGTTGGCTTTTCACAATCCTTCGAAAATGTCCAAGGCAAACATCAGCATAGTGAGCGATCGCCTGACTGGTGAACGCTTTTTCTCGGTGCTTCACATTTACGTAAAACTATTGGAACACCACATGGCCCGAGGGGTGAATGACAAGGATGCAGCGTAGACACGTATCAATCTATTTATCTATCTACACAATTGGACATATACGGTAGAGGTCCTTCTCAGCCAATGGGATGCCAGGATGATGCTCAGTAATCGCCAACGGCAGAGCAGCGAGAAGTATGTTGCGTTCAGGAAACTCGGAGCTTCGAGTAGCAGCCCATACTGTATTTTTACCTTTTGTATCTTGAAATTTATTTCGTAACAAGAGGCAATATTTTCCTGTTGAGGCGCTTCGTAGCTTGAAAATTTCATATAAAGAGATGTTCATAGGTAGAGGTACCACTGTATTAAGTTCTGCACCTTGACTTCGTAGTGTTTGAGTTTTCTCTTGATGCTGCTGTTCTCCCTCTCCAAACTGGCAAGACGGATCTTAATGTCATGATATGCGGCGGCCACGGCCAATCCCGACGCTGGGTACATATCATCTTGGAGATGATCCGCTGACCAGCTAATTGCTGACATGTCTATATCATCTCGCAGCCCTTCGCCACCTCCCAATAGCCCGAGCTCTGCTGTGCCAAATACCTCCATCAACAATTATCTGTAAGAGAAGGAAACAAAAACAGTTTCACTCATGGAAACACAACTGGGAAGAAGCCATGTAGCTGTATCTTTGTATTCTTCACCGCACAGTGGAGCCTCAATGTATAGGCAGGCAATAAAGTCAGTGTTTTGATGTTCAACCCTTTCAGGGACAGCGGTCACTACAGTGGACAGCTTATCATGTTATCAGGTTACAGGGTGCATGAAAGGGTTCACCTGCCTTAGTTTCAAAACAAAACTAGGATATACGGTTAAGGCCAAACTTACTCATACCCCAGTGAATTGTTAAGTGAAAGTGAATTTTCATTTTGTGGCTCTTTAGCTAAAAATCTATTCGAAAGATGCAGTTACATTTTAAACGAGTGTGTGCTGGTTCACCTGCCTGGCTTCCATGAAGGTAACATGCTTTCAGTTCCCGCTCAGCACCCCATTTTTCATCTTCAGTCTGTACATATTGAGTTTTCAATTGGAGGTAATTAGTCCTTTCAGGGGCAGCGGTTACTATAGTGGACAGTTTATCATGTTATCAGGTTACAGGGTGCATGAAGAGTTAAGAGGATTTTGAAGGATTATTTTATTTCAACTTTAACGGTGATAGTCTAAATTTTTAAATGTATGGTTTGAAAATCACTTGAATAAAATACTGTTATTGGATATCTAGGGAATGATAAAGGTTATTGATTTGACCAGTAAGAATTGAATTTAAATCGTGTTTTGTTATGGAATACATTTAACTGCTGGCAAAAAAGTTTTGAACAACACAAACTGAGGGTTTGAGCCAGATTAAAACCAACATTACATTGCGTCATCTAATCCGATCTGAGAATCCGTTTTTGGTTTTGAACAACTGATTTTCAAGAATGGATCGATTCCATTCTTCAATAATTTTCAGGGGGTGGCCTGGTGGTCCAGTGGTTGGTGTGTCGACCTCACAGTGCGGAGGTCGTGCGTTCGATCCTGGTTCCTGCCTTCATGTGTAGAGTTTGCATGTTCTCTCCGTGCCTGCGTGGGTTTTCTAGTACTCCAGTTTCCTCCCACATTCCAAAAACATGCATGGCAGGTTAATGGGACACTCTAAATTGTCCTTTGGTGTGATTGTGAGTGCAAATGGTTGTTCATCTATGTGTGCCCTGCGATTGGCTGGCAATCGGTTCAGGGTGTCCCCCGCCGAATGCCCGAAGACAGCTGGGATAGGCTCCAGCAGCCCCCGCGACCCTTGTGAGGAAAAAGCGGATCGGAAAATAAATGGATGGATTAAATAATTTTCAGATTAGACTTTGAACAACTATGTCCACTTTTCCAAAAGATACCCATTCAACAGCACGTGTGTGCGTACACACTGCCGAAAACAACAATAGTCATTGAGCGAAAGAGGTCAAACTATGCATGTGGCTTGTGCAGAACTCCCACTCCCACAGCCCACACTGTCTTTCTCTCACATATCCACTTCCAGCCCACACACTGCAAACGTGCATTGCCTCCTTGCTTCCTTTTTAAATTTCCTGCTCCACTTTCAGTCAGCATTATTGCATTACACATACTCGATGCAAGCCAAGGGCAGATTAGAACATGACCATATGTTTTCCGCACATGTTTTTTTTTCATTTATTAATGGGCCGACATATTATATTGCACACAATAACCCCCTTCAGTCTTGCACAAAAATCCAGGATTCCAGGGTGAAGTCCAATCCCTGGTTGTGTGGGTTTTGTTGAGGTACTCTCGCTTCCTCCCACATTCCCAAAACATGCATGTTAGGTTCATTGAAGATTCTAAATTGCCAACTTGTGACCCCGATGAGGACAAGCTGTACAGAAAATGAATGGATGGGAGAATAATTAAAGCTTAATCCGTATGACCTCATTTAGTTACCGGGAAGAGTGAACGTTTTAGGCTCAGCTCTCAGTGTGATGCAGTGCAGTTCTGCAGCAATCTATAAAGACAGTATTAAATATGGTGTTAAATTAATGCTTAATGACAGTGTCAATTAAAGCTTCGTATTTGTTTATTTGCCCGGCGCTTTTGGCTCTGGCTAGGGTCACTCAGGGCAAACAAGAACCCCATATGATGAACATTTTTTTGAAAAGACTTTTCCCCTTGCCCAGACATGGGTCACCGGGCCTCCCTCTGGAGCCAGCCCTCGAGATTGGAGCTCGATGGCGATTGCCTGGTGGCTTTGCCTGCACCCACGGCTTACCCTGAAGTGGTAATGTGGATCCTCAATTTCAGGGGCTCACCGCCTGTGGTCAGGGCTAAAGGGATCGGGTGCATAGTGAACAGGGCGGCAGTCGAAGATTGGGACCATGGCCGTCCTATCACCGAGTACAGAAGCTGGGTTATGGGGTATAACTTCTTTGGCATAGATGTTATTTTTATTATCTAATAGTTTGGTATAATAATCCTATGCATATGCAAAAATTCATAGAGGAAGTCCAACATTTTGAATTTCCTTTCAAATATGGAATCGGCGCGACAACAAAAGCTGGTGGAAGTTGACTCAAACGTTTCATATGCTCCCCGCCCCCCCAAAGAAAATTCTGAATATATAAATATACTATAAATATATGAATTCAAACATAATCCATCCATCCATCCCCAAGGGTTGCAGGCATGCTGGACCCTGTACCACCTATCTTCGGACTGGTATGCCAGACAAATGCAGTGAACACATACTCGAAGAACTGTCTGTGCTCACAATCACACCTTGTTTCCAATTAACCTGCCATGCATGTTTTTGGAATGTGGGAGGAAACCGGAGTACCTGGAGAAAACCCACTCTGGCATGTGGACAACGATATGTCAATAATACAAAATAAATATAATAAAAAATAAAAATCTAATCAGAGCCACTCTCTCTGCATTTATCAGTGTTTCTTAGAAAGCAATAATCTTGAAGACTTTTTTAAAATTTAGTCATCTCTTATACTTTGAAAATTTGACTAATAAATGGATAACTGATAAACCATGGTCAAGTTTATGATGAAGTAAATACGAATGGGCTTGTCATTGACTTGACGCCAGATCAAATTTGTATGGTGTTAATTTTACGTAGCATTTGTTTAGTTTTGAGGTGTGAAAAAGGTTTGGAAGAAACCTTTGCCGGGTTCGTTGATCTTCAATGCTTGCTATTCTAACAGGAATTACCAGAAGACTGCATATTCTCAGCTGCACTATTCAATGTATGACACAAAGATCTTTTCTGCGAGACTGCTGAAGAAGGTCTATTCGGTCCAATATGGTTCCTATTCTTTATACTCCGGACAATGAACCTGTACGTTGTCGTCAAGTCCATCTTTTTTTTTTTTTTTCCAAGCGAGACCAAAGTGTTATTGTCATGAAAGGTTCTGGAGGGGAAACGCTTCACCTGGTTCCTTGATCTTTAATGCTCGCTATGCTAATAGCAACTCAGTTGAACTATTTAATGCACAGGTGTCAAACTCTAGGCCCGGGGGCCAGATCCGGCCCACCACATTATTTTATGTGGCCCCCGTCGAAAGAAAATCATGTGCGTCAACTTGCATGATCCTTGCTAAAAAAATGTAGTGAAATGTCAAATTGTGATGTGTAATGAATGACGTTGAGATTTTGCAATAATTTTGTTACCCATAAAAGTAATAATGCGACAATGCGATCAAACATTTTTTGTGGTTTCACTGTCATACGGCCCTCCGTGGGAAGATGAAACTCAAAAGTGACCCTCGACAAATATGAGTTTGACACCCCTGATTTAATGGATGCCAGACAGATCAAGACACAGCCATGGAGCCTTTTTCTGCTAGATTGCTGAAGGTTTAAGCCAGGGGTGTCAAACTCATTTTTGTCGCGGACCACATTGATGTGACCCTTTTGAGGGCCGTTATGGCTGTGAAAGCATTTAAAGACGTCAAGAATAATGGTTGATTCAACGATTGTTTAAGTGACTGTAATGACAGGTTTGGTAACAAGAAAATGTTTACAATATCTCTCTTATTTATTACATTGGAGAAGTTGAAATTTTGGTCCAGATTTTCGCAGTCATGGTAGAAGTTGACACGTTCGATTGGCTTTCGCGGGCCACATAAAATGATATGACGGGCCAGATCTGGCCCCCGGGCCTTGCGTTTGACACCGGTGTTTTAAGCCATCCCAAATGCTTCCTCTGCAACTGCCTAGCCCATGTGACTGTGTGTGACTCTATGGTCTTCACCGGCTCCAAGTCGATATTTGTGTGCCAGAGAGCAGATAGATAAGACGATGGGGGAGGAAAGATCACAGCAACACAACGGCCTAGCTCAAGTCACCGATCTAATTATTTCTACCAAAGAAGCCTAAGCTAACACTGTTAAGAGCTGCACCATCGAACAACGCTGTGTCTACTTATTTTTGTCCAAGTCTTGACAGCTTTTGCATTTTCTTTCATTTGTCTGTCCTGCTTACACTATCGTGATGAAAATTCAAATATGTCTCTATGGGAGAAAATAAAACTGGGTCACTTGTCTGAAACAATATCATGGGAATCCAGCCTTTGATCTATTGAATAAGATGAGCTCATTCAATTGGAAAAAGATCTCCTTCCCGATAAAATGACAGTGCCATTTACTTCCCTCTACAGACTGTACACAAACCGATTAGTAGTCAGGACTGAGATTGCGACACACTGCAACAATAACACGACTGACAAGGGTATGATCGCTTGACAATTACTCAAACAACAGAAGCCATTAGCAGGGGCAATTGCATTTCTGAACAGCACTGGCTCATGATTATTTTGTTCATAATGAAATTGGATTTTCACCCAGAGTAGAAGTTATGCAAGATTTTTATGAATTACTCAGGTTAAACCTGGCACTATTAATCAGTGAAGATGTGGAAGCTTGCGTTAGGCTTTTTTCCCCCCTCTGCCTGGCCAGACCAAAATTTCATCACTCAAAGAAATTTAGCACAGCCAGGATTTTTTTTTAAATTTCTTTCATGTGTGGATTTGTGGCCATGCACTCTTTTTTTTTTCCATCACCCTCGGTCTTGTCCTCCCACACCTGTAAAAACAAAAAACATTTAAAACATCCGTCCTTTGATATTCTCCAAACACAACACAGAGCCAAAAAAAAAAAAAAAAACACCCACAAGAAAGCCAAGCGCTGTGTTACTCTTCAATAATCTTGGATGTCATCCAACTTGTGTGACCTACAGAAGATGGAGTAAACCACCCACCTCAAGTTTGGTGGTTTTATTTGTGAGCAGGACAGAGATGTTGGATTTGAAAATAAAAGTCTCCATTTATCATCGCTAATTATTTAGTGAGACAAATCAAATAGAATCTTAGGTCTCTTGTCAATAACAGGACACAGAAGCCGATATTTTTTGGGGTACAATGAAACCGATTGAAGTTGAATCTCGGATTCAGGAGAAGCAGTTTGGTTTTCATTCTGCGCATTTAACAATGGACCAGTTCTACACCCTCAACAAGGTCCTCGAGGATGCACGGGTGTTCGCCCAAGCAGTCTACATATGCTTCTGGACTCTCAGGGAGTCAGTCGTGTGGGGGGTGCTCCAGGAGTATGGTTACCGGAATCCCTGATACAGGCTGTTCTGTCCCTGTCAGAGTTTGGTCTGAATTACCGGCAGGAAATCAGATCCTGTGCACTGACATGGGTGAACTGGCGCCAACTCATGCTGACTTTGGGTGAGACGAAGGGTATGCCCCGATCGGTCGGGAGTGAATCACAGGGCACAAAAAAACGGTGAGTCGCACTCATTGTCAATTAACAGTCTTTTTTTTTTTTTTGGAACTGCCATATACGAGTGCCTGGCTAAAATCCACAGCACTTAACTCCACGCAGAAAGGGTGGAGCCAGGATTTGAATTATGAAATACTCAGTCAATGTATTAGTTTCTGGCAAATAAAAATACAAGCCTGCTAAGTACAAAATTCTTCTGTTTGACTGCTATTTCGACAGCCCATTTTTAGCTCAGCAACACTATGAGCTTCATATTCATAGACAGCATAAATACTGGAATATCTTGATTCTCATGCAGGTGCAAGCCTCAATACGCTTGTTTGGCAATTTGGTTCATCTCCGGACTCACCCCCACTCACCCATTCTGAATATGCTTATATTTATATTTTATCATTTATATATACGTACTTATATACTTTTTCTTCTTCTACTTCTCCCATTGATAATTTTTGCTGCTGTAAATTGCGAATTTCTCCATTGTGAGACAAATAAAGGTTTTCTTATCCTATCTTATCTCTGCGTCATGCTGTGCGTCCAGCATAGCAAGGGTGTTTAATTTGCGCCCGGTGCACCTGACAATTTGATATCTAAAAATAGATGATGTGCGCTGGAACCAGGTCTAAGTATTGGCGCAAGTTTTGTCATGCAATTTTACGGAATTTGGTTGTGGTACAGGCAGACATATATGTGTGGTGGGTATTGTGTTCATCAACATGGGAACAGCATGCATCAATTCCTCTGAATCCTTACATTCATTTAATGCATCATTATTATTATTATTATTATTATTATTAAACACTTGAAATTGTCTCTAGGTGTGAGTGTGAGCGTGGATGGTTGTTCGTCTCTGTGTGCTCTGTGATTGGCTGGCAACTGGTTCAGGGTGTCCCCCGCCTACTGCCCAAAGACGGCTGAGATAGGCTCCAGCATGCCCTGCGACCCTTGTGAGGATAAGCGGATTAGAAAATGAAAATAATAATGATGATGATGATTCATTCATTCATTCATTTTCCGAACCGCTTGATCCTCACGAGGGTCGCAGGGGGTTGGAGCCTAAACCAGCTGTCTTTGGGCAGTAGGCGGGGGACACCCTGAATCGGTTGCCAGCCAATCAATCGCAGGGCACACAGAGATGAACAACCAACCATCCACGCTCACATTCACACCTAGGGACAATTTAGAGTGTTCAATCAGCCTACCGTGCATGTTTTTGGAATGTGGGAGGAAACCGGAGTACCCGGAGAAAACCCACGCAGGCCCGGGAAGAACATGCAAACTCCACACAGGGAGGCCGGAGCTGGAATTGAACCCGGTACCTCTGCACTGTGAAGTCGATGTGCTAACCACTGGACCACCGGACCGCCATGATGATGATTATTATTATTTATATAGCGCTTTCACACCAGCTGCAGCTTGTCACAGCTGCAGCTGTTGTGAAAGTGCAATCTAAATAAAGATGTATTGTATTGTTATTCCTAGTAGTATTATTATAATTACTTATTTTTTAAATCATTCCATGGGCCATGGGCGGTGGCACAGGTCTAAAGGGTGGAGTGGGGAGCACAGAGGGCACACACGGACACGTAAGATCAGGGCAGAATGCCCTCTCCAAGTGCCAACTTCACAGATCATTGATCTCAACTATTGCAAACATTACATCATCTGCCCGTGAAAGTCAACGTTAGATGCATATACTGTAATCACTTACAGTATGATACAGTTCAACATGTGAGAAATAGACAGGGCAGGTTTCAATGGCCCTTCAGATCTGCACCTGGGACTTGGTAACCAAATCTCTCTCATGACGTCCTGTTGTTCCATCTTGTGCTCGCCTTTTTCTATGCATATTTATTATTTGGTCTCTTTGACACATGACTTTTATATGCACATGCAGGGAAATGTAATTTGTGTGGGGTTTGATTTTAAAATTGACACTGACTTTACATTCACAGCGTGCCAATTGCTTGTTGAAGATTGTTTTGGAGTAAAGGCTTGACAACTTCCACTTCAATCATAAATTTCAAGATTCAACTGTAATGCTGTTCTGGCTCAAATAACATCCATTTGCATTTACATAAAATTTGGATTTTGAGATACATTAATTTCCAGTTACAATACGAATGCACATCATCAAAAAAAAAACATTTTTCCTTCTTCACGTTAGGCTTGAAGAATCTTTTTTAAGAGAGGTTTCATTTGAACTTTATTATTTGTGCAGTTCTTCCAATGTGCTATAATGGTTATTCTAGTTTTCGATGACTACAGTGTATTTCACATGTGTGGTGTTAAGATTTAAAAGGGAAAAACAACTAACAAATTGAATATTTGAAGCATGTGCTCTCATGCATCAAGTAGAGGTGAGTTTGTTGCAGTCCTTGCAAAAACATCACCAGGTTCTGCGTTGCCTCGCATTTATTCAGATGGCCGAAAACACGTGAACGCAACACGCCCCGACTGAGTCAGGGTTGTAAATGAATAACGAACAAAATCATTACATTTATTGTCATTGTAATCCAAGTTTCTGATTGAATAATAGTTTTCTCAGGTATTTTCGGCCGAATAGCATCAGCATCCGTCGATGGTTTCTAATAAACCCAATTTTTGCTATTGTTTTTTTTTTTTTTCTTCCCCCCTCGATGCTACTTGTCTCGCCTCCGACAGAGCTGGATTTCACGCCATGGACCGCTGCGCAACAAAATCATCTCAACCCGGCCCACTTCATCACAGCGGTGTTTCGATTGATACATCCAGTAAATTATGACTGTGGACACAGACACTTGTGAAAATTCGAGCAAGGACATACACGCATTCGAGCTTGTTTACTTACGTATGGTGGCAAAAGCAGTGGAGGTGGTGGCGCTGATTGTGCTGAGGAAGGGTCGACATGACTTGAGTGTGACATCAGCAGTGGATGCTGAGGCGAGTGAACCTCCCCCTCCCTACTCACAGCCAAATGGGAAGGGGGAGGGACTTGCTCATGCGTGAGAATCAAGTATAAAAAATGCTACCAAATGAACAGCAGTTAAAGTTGTCAATGCTCGTACAGAAGTGTATGCCTAACTGTACACCTTAAACCACAGGTTTCAAACTCAAGGCCCGGGGGCCAGATCTGGCCCGCCACATCATTTTATGTGGCCCGCGAAAGCAAATCAAACATGGCAACTTCCATGATGCCTACTAAAATGTGGACCAAAATTTCACATTCTCAAATGTAATAAATAAGAGAGATATTGTAAGCATTTTCTTGTTGCCAAACACCTCATTCCAGTAATTTAAACAATAGTTGAATAAACTGTTATTCCTGACTTCTTTAGATGATTTCAGTCATAATGGGTTTGACACCCCTGCATTAAACCTTCCAGGCATTGTTTAAAATGCTTTCGGCCTTAAGTGACAAAACGACAGGTGCACTTTGTGCCATGTTAAACTGCTCGAATGGAATTTCGAGGCTTGAACGTTGGGGGGAAAAAAACGTCACTTGAAAGCGCTAAACAGTTCACTTTCAAATATGGAAGGAGTAAATGCGTTTGTAAACCTCTGTTCAACTCTTCACAATTTTTTTGATAAAAAGATCCAGACGGATATAAAAGTTGGACTAAAATTGTACCATTCTTGGAACACATTTATTTTGTCAATATCTTGAAATAGAGGGAACAGACAGAAGTGCAGTAAGAAAGCTAGCGTACAGAGAAACTAATGGCGCAACAGAATATGGGATCAGCCCGACAAAATAATTTTCTAGTCACTCTCACTTTTAAATCGAGAAATGTTTCCGCGTTGTGTTGGTGTTAAATTATATTATGGCATGTCACATTGGCGATTAATTCCCAAAGTGTTGTGCTGCCTTCAAATCACTTCTCTCATATTATGTGGCCATAACAACACTTTTATTCAGGCCATTTGTGTTTTGCCGGCAGTCTTGGGAATAACATATCACAAAACTACCAATTTACAGAAACATTACGTTTCTCACCAACTAAGTAATGTCACATACAGTATTACATGGAGTGTGCAAAAAAGGAAGGGCAAAAAAGAGGCAACAAGAGGTGAATGATAAAATGAGTAAAACAGACTTGTTTTTTGTATCAAATCCAGGCAGAAGCTAGCATCCCGCCCGAGTCAAGTGGTAGTTTTCCATCTAGTTACATCACTGAAGCGGCATTGACCCTACTGCCATATCTTGCTACTCCAGGCGGTCAAAAGGAGACTTCCCCACCACTGCCGCCACAGAAGAATAATTTGGCGCATTCATCTGTGCCCACCTTTGAACTTGTTGCAGGAACTATTCTCTCCACACATCAAGGATTCTACGATTTTATCATGCCTCCAGACGCCAATTCAAAAAGCTATATAATAGCAACTTGCTTGTGTACTGGACTGTTGGCCTATGGGACCATTCTCCAGAGGAAAAAAAAAAACACGGAAACAGACTCGTTAATTACTTTGCTGACCACAATGCCTGCAAGATGAGCTTCTAATGTGTGAGTACGCTTTTTTTTTGTTGAGAATTGGAATTTTAATCTGTGCCAAAGTACTAACCTGAAATGAGCCATTTGTCTACATTCAAACAAATATAAAGGTTGTAAAAGAGAATATCATGTATTGGAACATGTTGGTGGTATTGTTAATATTCAATATACAAATCACAATATTAAAATTTGCAAAAAAAAAAAAGCAAAATACATGGTGACAGTGCACTTAAATTTCTCTGCGTGTGTGCGTCCAAGCGAATGTCTGCGCGTACGTATGTGTGCATGCACTTGTGTTGAGGGCAGGGGACTGGCCACAAACAAAATATTTAGCACTGGGGCCCATCACCATAATATGTTATCAGATCTAAATATCTCCATGCACCGAAGCAAGGCACGGTGCTTCAAAGGTTCTTTGAGGCACATGGAACCTGTTTCCGGCCCCTTAACCCCACACAAAAGAAAGATCCTACCTCTTGCTTCATCAACTTTCCGGTGTCGCTGCTCGGTCCTGGTACGGTGCACACATCCAGGCAAATCTCATTAATCACTTAAATCAGCTTTAACTGTAACTTCCCAACAATGGGCGGTCAGTGTATTGAGTAGCGATGCAAGCTATGCATGTTTAAAATAGATGAAATATTAAACATCAACTTTCCAGCAGTTGAAATGGTCCAAATCACCTCTTTCTTCATTGCTGTACACCAGGGGTGTCAAACTCATTTTTGTCGTGGGCCACTTTTGAGTTATTTCTTCCCTCGGAGGGCCATTATGACAGTGAAACCACAAAAATGTTTAATCGTACTATCACATTATTACTTTTATGGGTAAAAAAATTATTGGAAAAATCTCAGTGTCATTTATTACACATAACTTGACATTTTGGTACAATTTTTAGCAAGGATCACGCGAGTTGACTCACATGATTTACTTTCGAGGGGACACACAAAATAATGTGGCGGGCCGGATCTGGCTCCCGGGCCTTTTGTTTGATACCTGTTTTACGCTGTTTTGGAATACTGTTTGGAAGCCAAAGGGATCCAAAGGGCCCTCCACAGCTGCCATCAAGACAAAAATACGGCAGACATATTGAACTATATTTACAATTTCATCTGCACCGTGGATGAAATAGGGTGATAGTGATTTTGCGAGCGGCATGTAAAACTTGTCACCAGTGCTCATTCATTCAGAATGGAGAGTCACTCTCCTTCATTTAACCACCTCTCCGAATCAACGGCTCGTTGTCCTCACTCTGCAGCATCTGAAACCGTCCGGCGGCTACACAAAGCCGAATTTCCCAAGGCTTGAGCCACAATTGGTCGGACACGGGGAATGGCGAGCCTCTGCTCTATTGGTGGAGACCTCTCATTCACATGAATGTGACTGAGCGAGTAGTGTGCATGCTCATGAAAACGTTTTAGCATTAATCATCAAAATTGCATCTATTCGTACTTGTGAAATTGTAAATATGGTTCAGTGTTGTTGTGAAACACTATCACATGTTTATTGTATATACCAGGGGTGGCCAACCGCATGCCTCTCTTTGGCTGGTTCAATGTGGCTGCCGGGCTTTCACATGAAAAGCGTCGAAAACGCCTTGGCGGTGGCGCTGCCATTCAAACAACTGCTGCAGAAGAATTTACGATGTCAGCCTATCATCAATCCCGTTATTTGATTGACATACAGGGCAACCAGTAAGATGATAACTGAATTTTGACCTTTAGGTCACCGCTCATGTGCAAACAACGACGCTGAGTGCTAAGCTAGTCAGCGCATTACCTCTGATTTTAAGGCAGGGGTGCTCAATACGTCGATTGCGATCGACTGTGAGCCAGCGAACTGCTCCCAAGTGAACTGCGAGGGGTGTGAGGAGGAAATGGTGGGGGGAAAAAAGGATTTGTGGGTCTGTGTTTGGCTGTTGCTCATTGTGGTGTGCATGTGTGCATATACACACGTGTGCACCTGCAAGCACCATTCAACACAGAACGAGTCGGGGAGGCTAAAATGGGTACCGGGGGAGGGCAGGGGAAGGGGTTTTTTTTTTTTATACATTTTTGTAGCTTGTGGGCATTTAATATCAATGAGATATGACGTGTCCATCATAGAGAGAACAGAGAGAATCTGGTCACTTGTCAAAATAAAATTTACTTGGATAAAAAAATAAACAGAAAGTCCTGTAAGTTTTTTTTAACCCTTTCATGCACCCGGCAGCCTGATAAAATGACAAGCTGTCCACTGTAGTAACCACGGTCCTTGAAAGGGTTATTCTTTCAGTTGTGCAGCCTGCATCAGGCCGGTCCAAAGTGGCCCGCTGCCTGGTACCGGTCCACGGAACTGGCCTCTACTGCCTGAAGGGCACAATGCTGTTTCATTGATCAGTGCTTTAACATCAAATTAGCTGTATCATGTTGCTTGACCTTACTATGGTCACGAAGCAATACCCAGTACTTGCTAGTTTAACAATGTATCACTATTTGGACTGTAGTCCAATTACCCTTAATCTCAGTTTCCCACTCCCAAAAACCATGAATAAGTGAGATTTTGTACTTACAGTACTTCTTGAATGCACATACAGTTCTGTCCCAGAAATCTCCACTGACTTCAAATACCGGACAGCTAGACAGCTGCACCAAATATGTGACGTAATTCCGGATGACAATGCTGCTCTGATTCAGCCTTGCGTCAGTGGGGTGAGATGAGCAACAAGGATATGCAGCGAATCAAGAGCATTACAAGATAGAAATAGCAAAGCAAATGCTGTTGAAAATTTTCAGGGCAAGGTCAAGTAGTCTATTGCAAGATTTGCTGTGACGACTTCTCTGTTGAACTTTGGCTGGGGAGAGGGCGGGGGTCTGACATTACATTGTAGGAAGTGAAGAACACAACAGCTTCTTTCAGTGGTCATTCTTTGAAAATCAAAATCAAATTTTATCGAAACTAAGAACAAAACATTACAGATATTGCACAACTCATCAGCCGCAACTTATGCATATTTCTGCCACACCAGAAAAAATAAAACTTTATTTTTGTGTGTTACAGATCAAAGTTACTAATTACCTTAACTATGCAGCTCTTCTTGTCATTGATTGGAGTTTTTGTTGATTTGCTCTTGATTACATTTAGCTTTGTCATGTTCTCCCTTTGGGCGCCACAGTGGACCACTGGTTAGCACATTGGCCTCACAGTGAAGAGGTCACGGGTTCGATTCCGGGAAGGTTAATGTAACACTCCAAATTGTCCCAGAGTGTGATTGTGAGTGTGTGTTTGTTGTTTGTGTATGCGTGCCGGAATCGAACCCTGCACCTCTGCACTGTGAGGCCGACGCACTCAGTAGTTGAGCACGGGGCCGCCCAACGCAAAAATCCTCCAGGTTAAGACATGAAATTTATCACGCTATAACAACATGCTGAAGTGTCGTTTATCTGGTGTGGCAGCAATATGCTACCGTAGAAACAAGTAATACCCAATTATTGCGACGTGTGTACACTTGTGTGTTCTATTTGTTCATTGTGAAAACGTCACTTCCACACAGTATAGTGTGGTGCGCACAATTACAACAAATAGTGCATAATATTATTTCGTTGAATCAAGATAAAACAAAATCTTATCGTACAACTGCCATCATTGGTACTTCTGTCTGATTTGACGAAATCAACATGACGTCACTACGCAATGGTGTACAACTTTCTCCGATCTCACTCTCGTTACGTCACGTGTTTTTGTTTTCAAGCCATTCTTTAAAAACATGTTACGACTCTGAAGTTGATCGACAGTCGTTCTCGCTTGCGCGAATATTGTCAGTGTTAATATTATGACAACAGAGTGCAGCAATTTTCCATCCCGGTTGTTTATCGGCGAGCGAAAGAGAACATTATGTAATTGTCGCCGTGACCAGGTCAGTCATCCAGGAGACTGACTGCCTTGTTTACGCTCCCTCGACGGTGCAACTCTTTTCAGGACTTGGAATGTGACTGGCTGGCTTCCGCCCACCTCATCTTCTCATTGGTCGAGAGGCACTAAACGGTGTAATAAACGTGCAGTTCACGAATGCTGCTACAGAATGGAAACGAAAGATTGTCTTTTGTGAGTTACGTCTACATCGCCGAATTGAATTGATTGGAGGAACCTGTATTTATTATTGATTAAGGATGACGAGTAGAATACGGTTTGTTCGATCCATGGTGAAGGCGGCAGCTGTGGCCAACGTCCCGAAACATGTGGATCATTTCTCCAAATTTTCCCCATCTCCGCTTTCCATGAAGCAATTCTTGGATTTCGGTAAGTGGACTTTACGTCACATTTTAGTCTCTATAACGAATGAAACGCCGTTGCTTGGCGTTTGCTTACGGTTGTTTTTTTTTTCATTTGCGATGCAATTTCCTCGTGATACGAGCCTTATATGTAATCAAACGATGTGTGTGCGTATGTGTGTGTAAAAATACATTTTCAATGCAACCTATAGCTTTACTAATTCAAAAACCATCATCATACTTAATCTAGCATGGAGTACAGTTAACCATGACATAACGTGAAAGGCTGAATGAATGCCCTCTCCTTATTTGTTTTTGTAAGCCTGACACAGCACTTTCACTGTGGACAGAAATAAAAAAAATTATTGGGTTAGGGCAGCATGACTGATCTTGACCGATCTGCTGTGATGATGACAGCAGAAAAATAGGCAAACTCTTGTTATGAGTCTCTCTCTCTCTCTCTCTCTCTCTCTCTCTCTCTCTCTTTATATATGTGTGTGTGTATATAAATTTATTTTCATGTCATTGTCATTGGGACTGGCTTACAGAAACCCCTCAACCCTTTAAAAAAATCAAGGCTACTGAATTTTCCAGTCTACAACTATGACCTCAATGCTATTGTTTGTATGAAATGTTAAATGTTTGGATCCAACTTCTTGTCTTTTCCAGGGTCAACCAATGCGTGCGAGCGCACATCATTCATCTTCCTTCGCCAAGAGCTTCCCGTGCGTTTGTCGAACATCATGAAGGAAATCAACTTGTTGCCGGACCAACTGCTGGCCACACCCTCTGTGCAACTGGTCCAGAGTTGGTGAGTAACAGCTTGATTTTGACAATGACTATTTCAGCATTTATCGTAACACTGAGTCAGTCTTGAGTATGGAGAAAAAAAGGGGCCAGCCAGTAATTTGTTTGTATTTTCACTTGTGGATGGTGTAAGCTGCCAAATGCTGTTGTCAAGTACTGTCCGAATCCATGCATGTGGCTCATGCAGCAGACACATTGTTAAACACAAGTGCAGTGGACTCACCTGCTGATTCGCAGATTTCAAAAACCAAACACGTCTATTCAATATTTTTCACAATTTTTCAAAAAGCATTTATTTATTAGGGTGTTGCTCCCCCTCCCCCCACCTCCTTCTCCATTTCCCCCCTATTTCTCTGTGGAAAATGCATATTTAGTGTTTGTCAGTGATTTTATTTTAAAATTTTTTTTGGTTTAAAAAATATATTCCAATGCATTTGAAAGGGTGTCAATTATACAGTACATGGAGTTTTGCTATTCGTGGGCCGGTCTAGTCTGGTCGCTATGTTTTTATATATATTTTTATGTCTACCGGTGAACTGTAATTACGACACGTCTGAATGGCTTGATAATTTAATTCTTTTTGAAATCAGGCAGCTCACAAAAAGTTGAAATGGTAGCATAATTTCACGTTTGATTGGCAGGTAAACTCATCTATTAGTATAAAATCAGTTGTCCTTAATTTGTGTAACACGCTTCTGTTGAGAATGCCTCATATCTCATCATGGTACTGTATACTAAATACAGCTGATATAAATAACAGTTCAAGAGATTCCTCCACAGAGCAGAGGGGTGGGGAAGCGGCTAAAGTGGATGAACTTTGTCCCAGTTCCCTACACCCTTCCCCGCCTTTCTCCGTCTTGTTTTTCCTCTTCGTGTTTTCACGTTGTTGGAGCTGAAGGGAACATCACGTTCAGAGTAACGTCATTCCCATATGCAGAAAAAGTGACATGTGGGGATTTGATATGGGCGTGGCGGAGTTTCATGTTGCTATTATTTTCTTGGAGTGGCAACAGAGGCTCACCACGCGTGATGATGCGTGGTGGGGACATTTTCCTCTCAGTTTCATTCTGCACCACTCTGTTTTGTTATTCAATTCGCCGGATGAAATGTACCGAAATGTACACTGACGCAACAAGGAGGATATGGGTGTCTTAAGTGATTGTTTGTCAGACCTACAGCATGCTTGCTTGTACTCTCCTTTAGGTATATTCAAAGCCTCATGGAGATTTTGGATTTTCTGGACAAGAGCCCGGATGACCAGAAAACTCTCGAGACGTAAGGACAGCTTGTTTAAGAATGAAATAACAGAGCAGCTTAGTGCAGAAATTTACAGGATACCCGGTGCTGTTTTTCCTGCTCTCATCTTAGGTTTGTAGAAGTATTGGAAGCAATCAGGAACAGGCACAATGAGGTGGTCCCCACCATGGCTCAGGGAGTCATTGAGTACAAGGAGGCCTACGGTCGGCAGGATGCTGTCACTGATCACAACATGCAGTACTTCCTGGACCGCTTCTACACCAGCCGAATTTCTATCCGCATGCTCATCAACCAGCACAGTGAGTGGTGGCCTCACACACACTGTGAAAATACCGACACTCGACACCAAGTACCGTATTTTCTGCACTATGACGTGCTTCAGATTATTCGGCGCACCTTCAATGGATTGCCTATTTTAACACTGCATTCATATATAAGGCGTACTGCATTATAAGGCGCACAGAATAGAAGCTACAATACTTGCTGCGGTTGTGCTATGCATCCACTAGATGGTGCTACGCTAAAGAGAATACAATACAATACAATACAGCTTTATTTACATAGACCCTTCACAACCGCTGCCTGTAACAATGAGAACTGGCCGCAAACACAGACATGAAACACATAAATACCAAATGGCATTACACAGCAATAAATGAAAAACAAAAGTTATGAAGACAATTGATTCAACAAATAGGCACACAAACCTCCTGCGCTCACTTTTTGAGAAAATGGAATGCTTTTAGGTGAGCCTTATAGTGCGGAAAATACGGTAAATACACACTTGGAACTGTACGTAGTATCTTATGGTCACATCATTTCTAACCAAACATTCATGAGATGAGGTCTATATTTATCTCATAAACCGATAACCCGATGAAACTAATTAGTATTCCTTTTCTGTCTATAGCGCTTGTCTTCAGTGGAAGCACAAACCCCACTCACCCTGACACCATTGGTTGCATCGACTCTATGTGCGACGTGCCTGAGGTTGTCCGAGGTCAGTCCTTGTCTGCCCGCTGTCAGCTTCTAACCTTTAACGTATCTCGTACCGCAACTCTAAATTCACTTTTTTTCTCCCTAGATGCTTATGAGAGCGCGAAGTTGATGTGTGAACAATATTACCTGGGAGCACCTGAGCTGGAGTTGAGACAGATGAATGGTGAGAAACACAGACATCCCTATTCGCTGGTTGCTTTATGTGAATCTAAATCCTTGACTTCCTGTTCTTCCCTTTAGCCAACTGTATCAGGCAGCCCATCCAGATCTCTTACATCCCGTCTCACCTGTACCACATGCTCTTTGAGCTCTTTAAGGTAATGGCGATCAAAGCGGCAATGACTTCCGTTAACATTCGTTAGAAGTTGAAAATAAAGGAGATGGAACCTTAAATACTATACAGACAACATTCAAAAGACTCAACACAATTAGTCCTGACTCTTGAAAGAGTGTTGAAGCTCTGTTTGGTGCCTTGACTGCCACAAGGACACCTTGACTGTAGTCAGTAAGCAGGCTAGCATGTCTCTAATAACTATTAGCAATTTGTTTTGTCTGTATCAGGAAAAGGCACACTTGAGTTGCAGACTGAGCTCATGAGAGCCCATAATTGAATTTTTAAAAAATAATTATACCAAAGATTGCGCAAACGAGTGGACGTGTGTTCTCGCTTCAGAATGCCATGAGGGCAACCATTGAGAACCACGAGGCCAGCAGGATCCTCCCGCCCATCGAGGTCCTGGTTTCAGTTGGTGGAGAGGACTTGTCAATCAAGGTGACCAGCATTTTACCAATGCCGTGAACTGAGAAAATGTCTTTGTGTAGATTTAAATTTGTGAATGTGTGTGGAATCCATGCTAGCGTATTGTCATTCACAAAAGAAACATTGAGGAATATGATAAATGTACAGGATAGAAATGGATGAAGATAATGCTAGTGATGAGGGTGCATTTACAGTACAGTGGTACCTCTACTTATGAAATTAATTGGTTCTGGAAGAACGTTCTGAACTAGAACATTTAAAATCAATTTAAAATGTGTTCTGGATTCAGTCTAAATATTTTAAAAAGTGTTCTGTATTAGTCGTGCTTAAGTTTTTCATGATCAACAGCTTTGACACCATTAACATTTTGGGGAAATATTCACACTTCAGATTGAGACAATGTGAACGTGCCAGGGAGAAAGGAGCTAGAAGTCAAAGTTTTGTGTTTCCTCTTTCACCCACTGACCGCTTAATGTGGTTGCATAAATCCTCAAAAAAAAATCCAAATCCATTTAAACCTCCCAACCCCCATTTCCATATTTAGATGGGATTAACCTCTTTGGTATTACAATCCATTTGCATAATAAGTGAAGCGGCAGTATATTTATGTACGTAGCCATTGTTGCTGTTCAACTTGAAAACTTTAGACCAAGTCCCTCTAATCTCTTTCTCCCAACAGATGAGTGATCGAGGTGGTGGAGTTCCTTTTAGGAAAACCGAGCGTCTATTCAGCTACATGTACTCCACGGCTCCCAGACCAGAGATAGGGGAGAAACATAGAGCCCCTCTGGTGAGCATTTTCAACAGACACAAAAAAACCACAACTCATTGTAAGAAAAGATGCTAACATACGTGTATTACGTGTATTTATAGGCTGGTTTTGGCTATGGGCTTCCCATTTCTCGTCTCTACGCTCGCTACTTTCAAGGAGACCTCCAGCTTTATTCCATGGAGGGTTATGGCACTGATGCAGTTATACACTTGAAGGTAACATACAAAAAAACCCCAAAAAAAACAAGATCACACTATGGTGTGTAATTATTATTTTCTGATTTGATTGAATTCGCCGTTTCGGTCGTGAAATGTTTTCCAGTTAGTCCCCGCTAACTTTGTAACTTATGGTGAATAAAGCTAGGCTTCTCTTTTTCTTATATATTTGTTCAATGGGTATCCTCTGACTGGAAAAGACACACGATAGTGGCAAAAACATCCACATTTTTATTGTAGGGATCCTGTTTGGAGTACAAGCATGAGCAGGGGTGCCAAACTCATTTTTGTCGTGGGCCACATTGTCGTTACGGTTTCCCCTCGGAGGGCCGTCATGACTGTGAATTTTGTGAAACAATATAAATGTTTAATCACCTCCATATATTACATGCACAGCGAACAACATATTGATGGATAACTTGTTTTGAAAGCAGAAGTCAACAATGGCTTGTTCAAATATTGTTGTTATGGATTAGATATGACAATTTTGGTTCAGACTTTAGCAAGCATCATGGAAGTTGACATACTTGATTTGCTTTCACAGGCTACATAAAATGATGTGGCGGGCCAGATCTGGCCCTTGCGCCTTGACTTTGACACCTGTGACTAGAGCACTCTCAACCATGCATTTAGAACGTTGTATAAGCCTATTTTGGGAATGATTTAGGAAAAGTGATTGGTCGCTTGCTACAACATAATAGAAGTTTGCCTTTCACATCCTTGCGTCTTTTCCATCAAGTGGTCATTATTAAAACTTCTACTATGTTTCAGGTGATTGAAAAATCGCTTTCGGAACTTTGCATAGTGGATGCCCGAATAATTGTTTCGAATGTAAACAAATCGAGACTACGTCGCTGTCGGTAACAGTGAAGTCATCCATTCCAATTTAAGCCTTTCAGGCACAGCGGTTACTACAGTGGACAGTTTACGCTGTTATCAGGATATAGGGTGCATGAAAGGGTTAAAACAACGCAATCAAATTTTTATGTCCATGCCTTTATTGGAGAGAAAACATTTTCTGCGTGTTTGTCTTGATTTTGTGTCAATATGTGAGGCAGTTACTTTCTCCTATACGTGTTCATTTCAATTCCTTCATTGCAGTGCTTTTTTTTTTTTTTGTCTCTCCAGGCATTGTCGACAGACTCGGTTGAGAGGTTGCCCGTTTTTAACAAAACTGCCCTGCGTCACTACAAGCTGAATTTGGAAGCAGACGATTGGTGTGTTCCCGCTAAGGAGCCACTGGATCTCACAGCTTTTCGAACGGCCAAGTGATTCAGCCGAGAAAAGACACAAAATGTACTATTTTATACTATGCTTGACCACAAAAGCACCCTTGAAAGGACAGGACATTGATGCACCAGGGGCTGAGGGAATCAAAAGAGAAGATGGCCAATTTTTTTTTTCTTTCATTCTGATGACCTGGCACGTCGGTTGCTCAGGATGCACAATTTGTCTTTTCGTATGTGTTGTCTTTTCGCATGTCCTAGAAGTAGAACATCCAGTGGGTCAGTCGTAAAAAGTGAGAGAAGCGCTCGGAACTTTAAAAAAACACATTGAGAAATTAAATCCGGAACGATTCGTTTGAAATGATCGAACAGCTTCAGCTGGACACTGAGCCTTTATTTGCTGATATTGTTACAGCGGTGTGAATAGTTGAAAATCCTCAATTCTGTTGTACAGTATGTTGGGATTTGAGTCAGTGTAGTAGTCGTGTGATATAAATGAGGTTTTGTGCTTGGTTTCATTCCCTCATTTCAATTCAAAGTGCCTTTGCTATGTTGTATATTTGAACATTTGGAAGAGATTGCAGATATTTTTGTAAAAACAAATAAAAACATAAAAAAACTAATTCATTAAATGTATTGTGCTGATTTTGTGTTCCTCATCGATATAGCGTCCGATGAAGAGGTGACGGCAGACCGTGGAGTGCGTACGTGTTTGGCCCATGAGCTGCGTAGGAGAAAAGCAATAAACCTTGCTCGCAAACAAACTTATCACAAAGTTATATAACAAAAAGTTGAGTACATTACTCGTTATACAGTAATGACCTCAAGTAGACTTTGACTTTGCGGCTGTCTGCCCTGATGCAGTAAGTGAATTATTTAGCAATCTTTGAAGAACTTGCGCTTCATAAAAGCTGTGTGCATTTGTAACCCTGATGAAGTTTTGCTCAAGCAATGTTGTACTGTAACTGATATACAGGGCACATTTAATACACATACGGTGTGTAATACTGCATGGTCCATTCCACTGAATCTTTGGCATTTGCTTGTTAGATAATGTAAATTTCAGGGGTTTTCTCAACTCTGTGTTGTGGCCCATCTCAGCTCACTTTATTTTTTATGTCATAGTTTTATTGTACTGAAACTCCTCACTGGACTAGCAGGACTGAAAGAAACAGGAGTGAGGTTTTGGCATAGAATTAGCAAATAATGTATAGCGCAAGAACGGTGGATGACTGGTTAGCACTTCCGCCTCACAGTTCAGAGGTCATGGATTTAAATCCAGGCTTTGGCATTCCTAGATGGAGTTTCCATGTTCTCCCCATGCTTTTGTGGTTTTTCTCCTGGTACTTAGCTTTCCAAAAATGGAAGACTCTAAATTGTCCTTAGGTGTACTTTGTGTGTGAATGGTTGTATGACTATGTTTGTTTATACTGTATGCAGCCAGCAACTGCCCTGTGATCAGTCCAAAGGCAGCTGGGATAGATTCAAGGACACTCAGAATAGAAAATGGATGGATGAAATATTGCATTGATGAATGTAGCATGGTTGACCCTAAACACGTTCGAAAAATGTATTTCCAAAATAAACAAAATGACCCTTATAAATAATTTAGGCAACATGACTGAGTCAAGGTTTTAACTCCTCGGTCATGTTTGAAATATCTTAAAATACACAGGAAAATAAATTGGCGATTTCTTTGAGGGGAGGATGAGTTGTTTTCATGAGCACTAAAAGTCTATCTATCTAGTTCCCTAGCTAGCTAGGATTTTATTCAGTTTTTCTTTTCTTTCTTTCTTTTCTTTTTTTAATAGCTATATTCACTAATTCATATTGTCAGGCCTAAAACTGGAGGGGAAAAAGTATGCCCACTAGAGGGTGTTTTAGGAGAGGCGTGCTGGTGGTCCAGTGTAAAGTGAAATAAAAGCACAAGGCACAAATGGAAAATATTGCAAAAAGCTTTAATTCCCCCCCGCCCCACCCCTGATTTTCTTTTTAAAGGTAATATGCTTTCTTCTTACCACCCCACGAAGGGTTTTACTTTATTCTATTTGTTTGCCTTTTTGTTTTATCTGCAAAGGATAAAAAGACATTCATTGTCAATTTCCAGATGTATCAAACTGATTTTTGTTAAAGATTCGTTCACAAAGTAACTAATACAGTCTTGTTCTATACATGTTTCAGAAATATAAGAGAAATAATAAACATTCCATTTACACATATCTCATATTGATTCACTCGATATGAAATATTTGATATCAATTCTTTTGATTTACTGTATCTAAGTTTGTCACACTCCGCGATTTGACATTTCAGCAGAAACACAGAAAAGTCATTGATGGAGGAAAGACCCTCATCTTGCATTCCCTCTCATGCTTCCTTATCCTGGTGTCAGTATAGCTGACAACTCATCTATTTCTACTGCATTAGAATTTTCAAAGTTTAGGAAGACAAAATGATACCATCTACTACGTCACAAAAAGAGTTTGAAAGAACAAAGCTACAGTGGAAGAGAGAGTTTTATTATGCAAAACATTAGCGTGAGAATGTAAAAAGATGTTGGACAAAACAACGTAGGACTGTACTTTATTTATCATTGGAATACTGTAGATAAACTACTGTACATTGCAATATAATTTTATTTTTTTTCTTGCCTTTTGGGTTACACTATACACAGTTTCCCCATAATTAATTCAAGTCAAGAAAAACAAACAATAATCAATCATCTTAAACATACATGGGTTCTGTTACACTGTCGAACTTTTTGTCCAATATCTTCCTGAATTATGATCTCTTGTATTATTGTGAACAGCGACAACAAACGACAACAGTCAATTGGAACACGGACCTCCGCCAAGGCCAAACAATGAGCACCAAATTATACACCCTCATATACGGTATAGTCACTTCCTGCAGAATTTTTGTCATGTTTTGTTTTTCTTTTTTTGCATTGTTCTCTGATAAATTAAGGAAAATGTTGGCATATTGTAATGTTCACAAAAGTGTGTGAGTGCGTGTGTGTGTGTTGATTAGAAATTGGCTAGGAAGTCATCACAAGACCTCTCCAGCAGAGGGAGGAAAATCTGCATTGAATATGTCAAAACACATTTGAATGTGAACGGTTGTCTGTCTCTATATTTCTTGGAATTGATTGGTGAAAAATTCAGGATGTAGACTGCCACTTTGACCACAGTCAGCTGGGAATACTTGAACAAAGCACTTTTGAAAACAAGTCATTAAACAAATAGCTGATTTGATGCATAAATCGCGGCAGTTGAAAATCACATATAAGGTACCTGGGGGGAGAAATGATCAATACTGTTAGACACAATCTCACATTTTGATTAGATTTCAATAAATAACACTATCCCATATGTGCATTTCACCTCAGCATATCATTGTACCGTACAGAAACGTACTTTTCTTGTCTTGCCACAATGTGAGGAACCCCCCCCCCCCAAAAGAACTCCATCCTGAGATGAAGACATAAAACAAAATGACAGTAAAATGAAAAGTACAGAAAAAAACAGTGGTGATGACGGTCGAAACACGACGCCCCTCCCAGAAGATAGAATTGTTAACATTTGACCGAATGAGAATAATCCTGCAAATGATTCGATGTCATCCAATCTCTTGTCTCGTTTCACGGGAACCTTTGAATTGTTTTGCATAAATAATCTTGCCAAAAGTTCAACAACAAAACAATGTGCAAAATCATAAAAAAACAAAACGCTGTGGAAATACATTTCCAAATATGCGGCTGTACAACATACAAGGTATGGAAGTTACCATGACGTATGTCGTGATGATAATTTTAGCAAAAGGAGAGACCGAAGTAGGCTGACAGCCAAACTCGCTTACTTAGACAAGAAAAAAAATAAATAAATCACAGTTGCACATAGGTTGTTTTTTTTTTTTAACGGTAGCAAAAATAGAATCTTATTTGCAAAAGTAACTTGCCATTCATTCATTGGTTTCTGTACTATTATGCATAGGGCTACTCAGAATGGCTTGCAGAGGTCATGCAAAAATATCCATGCTTATATACCATGTTAAAGAAATATTCCATTGACACTGTGTCATCAGAATAGTTCTTGAAACCCCCGGCTTGAATAATGGATGTACTTTATTGGCTTTAATTTCTCAACACATTTCCCCTGAGGTGTGGAGCTTTTTTTTCTTCCATCACATATTGTCAGGAATTTATTACCAGGGACGTTGTGTTGCACTGATGATCTGGGTCTTCCTTCAAACATAAAGTACCGTATTTTCTGCACTATAAGGCGCACCTAAAAGCATTCAATTTTCTCAAAAGCTGACAGTGCACTTTATAATCCGATGCACCTTATATATGGTGGTACAGTCTCTTGATATTCCCCATTGCCTTTTTTTCGCTGTTGGTGTTCTTATGCCATCTAGTGGTGATTATTAGCAGGAACCAATTGTAACCTAAAGGGGTTCTGCCCGACACTAATCGACATGTGCATTCGCCAACACACACTCCAACAGATAACTACTTTGTGAGCTCTGCGCAGCCATAATGAAACGAAGATAATACACAAAGCAGAGTTAACTACTGACTAAACGAAGGAAAGAGACAAGCAAGACTTCTAAGGATATTTAGCCTCTTTTTGTGGACGTGAGCCCACGAGGTCTGTGTGCCTTTTTGTTGAATCAGTTGTCCTTCATAACTTTTGCCTTTCATTTATTGTTTTGTAATGCCATTTATATTTCTGTTTCATGTCCATGTTTGTGACTAGTTCTCATGGGTTGCCAAGGAGAACCCCCCTGTATTTTTATGGACTTTGTGTCGTGCTTCATGCTACATCCTGAGGGACCCACATATGGACCAATATTCTGATTTCTTGCATGTAGTATTTTAAATGTTCTGTAAAATGCTTTGTTCCAGCTGCAGAGATTGTGAAAGCTCTAAAAATAAATCTGTATTGTATTGTATTCCTTTTAGCATAGTGCCATCTAGTGGATGCATAACGCAACCGCAACCACTATTGTAGCTTTTATATGCCTTGTCAATGCGGTGTGCCATATACCATATATGAAAACAGTTTTAAGATAGGCCATTCATTGAGGGTGCGCCTTATACTCCAAAGCGTCCTTTAGTGCAGAAAATACGGTAGCTTTGATGACGATGGTGTCCCTTTGCATCGCCACCGAGTACAAATACATTTTTGCCTTTTTTAAAACTTGAGAGCATTCCATGTCTTGGTGTATTTTTTTTTCAGTATTGTATTCTATTTCACTCATGCCATGCGGGTCAGCTAAAAAGGCGCAGTAACAAAGCTGAGACACAACTTAAGAGAAAAAGAGGGAGACAGAGGGTAGTTTAGCGAGACAACACCCATTTCATTTTCTTTAGCAGATGTCTATTTTTTTGTATTCTCTTATTCATTTACGGTACATGTCTTTGGGTTAATTTGATCACAAGGTATCTTCGTGTATAGTATGAAAAGAGTCCATAAAATGTGATACATTTCAAGTCCCTGGTTGTCATCTGAAGAGTTGCGACGATGTCAAATCACAGGATCATGTTCCAGCTGTGGCTGATGTTTCTGATATGTGAGTCGAGATCCTCCTGAAAGGCTAAACAGAGAAGCCCGGGCCTGCCACCATCACTTTGGTCTTGCATAGTACACTGAATGCTAAAGTGGACATACTGCTTTGAATTCGGCATCGCCCAATAGACGGCAACTCTTGTTTACATCGTCCAAGGCCCTGGCAAAGTTGGTCGAAAAGCAACCGCCTTGACTCTCGGGCAAATAAATAGGAACAGGAAGTCAAATTCAATTCGTTCAATGCATACTAAAGTCACGTGGAGGAAAGTCCGTGTGTCAATCTGCCACCATTTCTGCATCTTCCACTCGCTGCTTATCCCACTCTTATGAATTACTTCTCTGGCAGACAATGTTTAGAAACGCAGCACTAAGAAAGAGACAGAATAAAACTGAAAGTTAAACATTTGGAGAGGACAAAAAAAAATATCGATGTTAGTGGAACCAATCCGATTTTTCCCTCCAGTGATTTCATCATGTGGAAATTGCAGCAAAACAATTTTTCAATATTATATCTTGAAATGCCTTATTACATTGTTGCAATACACCAGAGGGAACTGCAGTGCCAGGTTGGAAAAATAGATGATGTAATTTCTAAAATATGCACAGAATGTAGTTGTGAAATTTTAAGAACAATTGCACATCTTTACTGTGATTACAATTGTAGAATAACACGTGTCGTGCGTTTAATGAGCTTTTAGAATCAGTTACACACTTGTAGAGTTTGAAGGGCAACACATGTAAATTGTGCAATTCACATACAGTAGTTTCTATGGAGTAGTTTATGTCTGTATGTACCGTTAAGTACTTTAATCTTTACTGTTATGCAAGAGGTTTATTTAGTGGGCCACCACCGATTGCTATGTTAACAGGTTTTAACAACAAAGTTGTAAGTCGGGATAAGATTAGTCCAGAACTTCCGACATTCTCAAGTGTTTTTTTTTTAAATCAATGTATTTTTCATTTTTTACGTTAGGCTAAGTTACACGATTACTTTGTCCGTTGTTAAAAGTATAATGCTATTAAGTTTTAACACTACAGTGGTACCTCGACATACGAACGTCTCTTCATACGAAATTTTCAAGTTACAATACTCCTCAACAGGAAAATATTGCCTCTTGTTACGAAAAAAATTTCAAGATACGAAAGGTAAAAATACCGTATGGGCTGCTACTCGCAGCTCCAATGTCCTGAATGCCATCTACTCGTAGCTGCTCTGTCATTGGCTATTACCGAGCATTATCCTGGCATCTCATTGGCTAAGAAGGCCTTCTCCCGTATATGTGTCTATGTGTGTAGACAGATTGATATGTGCTTATGCAGCGTCCTCGTCATTCGCCAATTCGTCAATTATTATGCTTGATAAAACATTAATGTCACAATTATGGGGGGGCTTGGAACGGATTTGGGCATTTACATGGAAAACGCATCTCTACTTACAAAATTTTCTAGTTAAGAATTTTTTTCCAGAACCAATTAATTTCGTAAGTAGAGGTACTATTGTACTGTAATCCGTTAAATTTAGCCTTTTGGTGCACAACTTTTGTTTTATTGTTACATAAAGTTCTTCTTAATTGATAACAGTTATTATTGTTTGGATTTTTGTTGTTTAAATTCCATTTCGATCGGACCGCCTTGAAATAAGTGGATTCCCTTTTCAACGACTACGTTACATTATTCATTGTCTTTGGACTTAACAGCGCCTGGGTTAGCCGCATTAGCTTACAGTTTTGGATCGTTTTGACGGAAATTCTTCAACTAGGACACAGAAAAATGGTAAATATAACAACCACAGCAAATCAGCAAATAATAGCTAGCACTATAATCCAGTGATTTGGGGTTCAAAGCTACGCCTCCTCGGGAGTTTTTGCAAGTGCTAAACCGGTAAGACCCAACGTCCTACAAAGCAGTTGAATCGTTTAGCGGCAAAAGCCCATGGCGGAGTGGAGGCCGCGTGAATGTAAACGTAAGCAGAGTTGGGGGAAACTAGCTTGGTAGCATATTAAGGGCAACAGATAGCCACTAACACCACCATGTCCAAAAGATTTAAGTTGCATGCTTTAGAAGCGAAAATCCACTCTAACATTTTTAAAAACATTACAGGCACAACAGACATCAGCAATAAGCTAATACACAGACACAAGATTGAGGAATACAATCATAGTTGACTTACTTGGAAAGATGACTTTGCTTCCGCCTTCGTTTCCTCCCCATCGTGACCACTCATTTTGATAGCCTTCATCGGCTTCTTGTCATGCTGCTCAGTCGACAGAACACATCTTATCAAACACCCCATCAAAACAAAACTTGGTTCCCATTCAAGGTCTCTGATCTTTCCTCTGTGTTGCTCCTCTCTCAAATGGTACCAACACGGTAAAATTTACTTCATTTGTTGCTGCCAGATGCTTCATTGTGAAGAAAATGGATTATATTTGGGGTCGTAAAATCTCACCAAAGGAGAATTATAGTGGATCGAAAATATCTACACACCACTGTTGAAGCGCTAGGTTTTTGTGATGTAAAAAAAAAAAAAAAAAAAAAACGAGGGGAAAATCAATCATCTCAGTCAACCACCACCATGGATGTGATCAATAACCTGCACAACTCATTTGAAAATAAAAGAAAAAAGGTGTGTCCAGAATTAACCAATCATATTCAAACTGATGTTAAGTTGGACCTACGATTGGCTGGCAACCAGTTCAGGGTGTCCCCCGCCTACTGCCCGAAGACAGCTGGGATAGTTTCCAGCATGCCCCGAGACCCTCTAGAGGAAAAAGCTAATTACAAAATGGATGTTAAGTAGGACTAAGCACATCAAAATTTCAGATTTTCAATTCGTCTTTTCCTGACAATTTCAGACTCTCAAGGTTTTGCGCTAACATTGACTGATAACTTTTTATCAGCCCAAATGAATATGTACAGGTTACCGTTCAAAGTAATGGTGGATTTCTTTTTAAAATGATTTATCTAGTTTTTTTGTTTTTAGACTTTTTATATCCACTGTAAATTAATGAAAGAAGTGTTTAGGAGAAGGAGAAACACAGTCAGACCAACTACAAGGTTTACAAAGAGGGATGTGGCGTTCACTGACACACAAAACAAGAGGAAAACAAAACCCTTTTAAATCAATTTTTCACATTCGCTGTTTTTTCTTGATAGCACATGATAACAATAAGAGGGTCCAAGGAGATACCTGAGTTGTATATTGATTTAAAAAAAAAAGGGAGGAAACACTTACAACGTGCATGTGTCTATGTTTTGTCAAGGAATATATTGAAAAAAAGCAAATAAACAAACATAAAAACACAATATAGCAACACCAAAATAATTTATAACCTAAAAACTTCACACATGACACACCCTTATTAGAATAAAATAATTTATTTTGCCTGACGTAGATTATTTAGGTTTAATTGATAAAGGTTTAACACGTTTCCCAGATATTGTAATGCAATAAAACAATTCAAGAATAATTATTCCAAGTATGGTGGTTATTTTGATTTGGGATTGATCCTTCAATGAATACTAAATAACAAACAGCTGGTTAGGATGTTTATGGACTAGTTTGTCAGGTCAACCAAATGTCCATCAAAAGGAAGGAATCTACTTGAGGGAGGCTTTTGTGAGAGCAAAATCTTGGATATGGTTTAAACTTGATAATGATATCGGTTGATGTGGACAGTTGATTGAAAATTTCAACTAGATTTGGAATGGAATGTGCGTAGCCACCCACATCAGCAATTTATATTCGCATGTCATCATTTTGTTCTCGATTCAGATCAATACGTAGGAGCAGCAGTTGGAACAACTGGTTTCCTCTAATGTGTACTTTGCGATTTGCTCATTTTCAACTCAGGTCTCATGGGTTGGTTTGTCTAAACTCTAAAGAATTGGATACGCGGTTATTGGCGTAGGATAGGGACCGAATAGCAAAAATCCACGAGCAATTGACGCCCCATGAAAAGGGTTTGTAATTGTGTGTAAATGCCACAAGATGGCGTTGAATCACTACATATTCCCAGAAATTAAGGATGTCCAAGTCTGGTCCTGGAGAGGCTCTATCCAGCCTGTTTTATATGACTCCCTCTTCCAACCCACCCGATTCAAATACTGTATCAGCATCGTTATCAGCCTTCTCAGAGCTTGCTGATGAGCTCATCATTTGAAGGGAGACGTGTATTGCCGATGTCAGATTACACAAACGTAGCCTGATTTTGAGTTGACAGAGTGTCGCTGATTTTGAGTTGTCTTGACTCGTGTAGCCTGTGTCATGTGACATACTCGAATGATTGGTCGTGGGACGCTACACGACGACGACGACGAAAGTCTGGCATGCCAGAATTTTTGTTCGTCTTGCCGCATAGTGTGTCCTTCAATCGGTTGGTTATTTGGCTTTGAACAAAAGGGGAAATATTGGACAGTATAAATCGCATTTCAGCTTATGCTAACTGCAAAGCTAGTAGCTGATTAGCAAACGTGGTGTCATAAAATAAATTCATGACCTCAAGTTATTTTTGGAGAATAGACAGTCACATTCTCTTTTTTAAACTTTTTCTTTTTCTTTTTTTGCCTGTTCTTAACATAGAAAAAAAACCCCCCACACGTGCACATTATGCCTCAGTCGACTTTGCCAGCTGCTTGTCCCACCTCCTCGACAGACCAGCACCGATGGACTGAATATTGACGGACGCTCACAATAACTGGGCAGGATCTGGTTGGTGACGGACTTGTAGTGTAACATCTCGCAAGACACAGAACAATATTTACCTTGTAGTCTAATAGCGCAAACAACAAAAAAGTCGTGTTGTTTGACAAGGTCATAAAACAGGCTGGATAAGAGCTCTCAAGGATCGGACTTTGCCACCCTCTGGTCAAAATGAAACTCTTCAAATCACATAAACATACTTTGACACAAGATACCACCAGATAGCGCCAAAATAATACATATTGCCCTGGCGGAAACACTATAGAGTGAATAGGGGAGTTTCTAGCAAATATGAAAAGATAGGTGAAAACAAATAAAAAATAAAAGATAACATTTGTAAATACTATACCGGGGTTCACAGTACAGGATAAATAATACTTTTTTCATCCCATAAGGGACAATAAATAAAGCTACTTGAATTGAGTTACAACAGTTACAACACAGACAGAATTAAGATCATGTTTATGATTATAATGCTTCATGTTTCATGTTTACTTCTGACTTGTACATTTTCCCGTTGCTAAATAATGTCTCACTCTTCAAGGCTCTCATGCGTCTTTTTGCTATTTTAATGTGTCACTGGCTCCACATCAGCAGTAGGAATGCTTACAAAATGTGAAGCGTAGCAAAGCAAACTGTAATGGCTTGTGGCAACGGTGGTTGTAGGAAAGCTAATTACAGCTAACTAATGGCACCCATCCTCCTTCTCTTTTCCATTCCTGGAAGCCATCTGTGCTGGCATCTCAAAAGAACAATAATTAGCCAAAAAAAAAAAAGGCATATTTTTCCTAAACATGATGGTTGGTCTCCAAATTGTATGACATTCATGGACTTTTAAATTGAAAATTCCACTTGAAGTCAATAAATAATGAAAAAAAAAACTCTGACTATTTGTTGCTCAGTTTTCTACGGTATACTACTTTTAAATAAATCACGACAACCTTGAGTACTGCATTTCTATCTCACTTTAAAAATGACATTTTTTTATGACTCTACTGGTAAAAAAAATAATTAAATGAATTCAACCGTGTGTATCTGTATTTTACTGTACTGTAAAGATAATATTAACATTATTATTATTATTGTTATTATATGGTTGGTCATACTCAAATACAGGTAATAAACCAAATTAAAAAAATAATAATATATATATATATATATATATGAGGCAGTAAAATAACTCAAAATGTTCCTGTAGCCAAGTGAGATGCAGTTTTCTGATCCTCGTCACGAAAATGCCACCTTGTAGATGTTTACCTCCCCTGAACAAAAAGTTTAAAGTGTTGACAGAAGCATTTGCTACATCATGTAGAAAACAAGCAAACAAAAAACTGGAAGCATTGGTCGGGCAGTCTCTCGGATGGGAGAATTGTCTTCATGCAGAAGAGCAGACATTCTAACATTCATGGAAGAAGCTGGATTGTAATTATTATTAAGATGTTTTTAATATCTTATCATTCGTGCACATTTACTGCATGTCTTTGCATAAATCTGATCAGCACATGGCTATCAGAATCGCTTTTGATCATTAAAAGAAGCACAGAAGTAAAGGGGGGAAAAATCATAAACATGTGAACGTTTCTCTTATCACAAGTCTCTCAAGATCAATAGGAAAGTTGCTATACAAGACATAAGAAATGTAATCCCTCCCCATCCTGCAAAAATAAACTTTCCCACCCTTGCCCAGCCATGTTACAGTACCTAGCTTGGTCTTGACGGACCAGTAGCATCATAGTATTTTGGCATGCATAATGTCAGCATGTCCTGCCTCTTTTTGCATTCAAAGAGATTTTTTTTGTCATGCTTTTGTTAGTGCATATGCATGTGCCAAAACACACACTCACTCACTCACTCACACACGCACACACACACACACACACACACACACACACATGCACACAAGTTGATATCTGATCAGCTCAAGACTACAATCTTACCACACACCCTCACATTATTTTCATACCAGAGTCCTTATTGCTTGCAATGGAAATCCATGCAGTTAACTACAATGCACATTTTACATATTATCTACATAACCGTGACGTAAGTGGCACACGTTATCAAGAAGTGGAGAAAGGAGGTTGAGGTGAGAAACTGGGAAACAGGTCTCGATGTGTGTGTGTGTGTGTGTGTGTGTGTGTGTGTGTGTGTGTGTGTGTGTGTGTGTGTGTGTGTGTGTGTGTGTCTGTGTGTGTGTGTGTGTGTGTGTATATGTGTGTGCACAGTGTCCATGCCACGTACAGTGAGCTACATATTTGTCAGGAAATAAAGAAATACATCAACGAATGAATACATCTAAATCGTAGATCCCTCTGGGAAAATGGAAGCTTTTGCCTAACATGCCCATGTCGTGCAATGAACCCCAAACCCTGCAGGACCAACTCCCATTTCAATCAGTCCACGTTAAAGCTGCCTTAAATTGACTGAATCGTGGCCCAGTCGCACTGACATCGTTATGCAGGTCAGCATTTGTGCCGGTACAAAACCTTGGCATGTACCGTACATCGGCTATCGAACGCGCCACAATTTTCAGTAATAAAGTCCCACTTTGCTCTTATTTGCCGCAAAATGAGGAATCAATCTGAAGCTGCTATGCAACAACGAGAGCTGGGGACCTATTTTGTACAGTAAGTTATGCTGACAGAAAATGCAAGGCTGACACTAAAAAGTTCAGAAACACTTTGCTCTCTACATTTGTCTTATTGGTGCACAATCAGGAGCAAATCAATCATGGGCAAGAAAGCTCTTCTAATGTCTGGCTCGACTTTAAGCACTTAAGACCAATATTGATCTCCTCTCCCCCTCCACTCCATCTTGCCCAGAATGAAAATAAGCACATTTGATCAAATATCACTCATTTTCCTGTTAAAAAATGTAACATTTTCCTGTCAGGCAAGCTTCTAAACAACACCAGGCGTAAAAGTTTAAAACAATATAACAGAAAAAAAAACAAAAACTTTTTACGAGGATCAGTTTTGTCACATAAGTTATTGTAACGAGATATTTCTGACAAATGTGTTTGGATTTATTAGCTTTAACTACTCGTCAGCCTCACATGGGGAGTAAAATTGTTGGCTGGACGTTCTTCGTCAATTCATCATGAAAGGAAAGCTGAAAACAACATAATGGTCTAACCAGAGGCCATATACATTAATCGACATGAAATAAATCATTTCTAGTTCACTGCGTTATTATGACAGATCAGAGAAACAGGCCTGCCAATTTGAAGAAAGTTGGGGGGGGTCACATAAAAAGACAAGGACAAAAAGATGCTTCATTAGGCAAAGAATAAATACAAACTTTGCTCAGTATTCCTTCCTCTTCTCATAAAAGTTGACATTTGCGCATCTGTGCAGAGGTAGATGCATGTGCACATGTGAACACACACCCACACACGCACACACCCACACACGCACACACCCATCCATGTGCACACTTGTTGCGTCAGAACACAACTTCACAGATCCCACAGCACAGTCTCCTTTATCTCCTTTGCATATTTGGACGTTGAATGCTGTCTCTTTTTTTTTTTCCCCCCAAGTTCCTCCCGTGTGGCTTGTCGCTTATGTCCGTTTGCTCCTCTACCAAGGGCTGTCGCTCCAGTAGCCGTTTACGGTGGCTCCTACTGAATTGCCACAGCCGAGACAAGAGATGGATGGCCAGAAGAGGAGGGAGATGGGGGGACGGGGTGAGGGTGGGAGTTCATGATGGTTACAACAGGGAAAGAAAGAGAAGCCAAAAAAAGGGTGTAAACTCAAAATTTTGCCATTTCCAGCCAAATCACACTGGAGTCAGCGCAACGTTGTATCGCTGTTGGTGGTGATGGGCAATGAGATGAAATTCTCGTATCCAGGCTGAGCTGCAGAGTTACTACGCTTGTCACGGCATGTGGAGCCAAATGTTGAAAAATTGCTCCTGTATTGTTTTGTTCATGCAGCGCCTCACACCCCCCCACCCCCCACCACTCACCGCATTTTTTAAAAGACTATTAATGGAGAAGCCAACCCCCCTGAAAACATGTTTTTCCCTACTATTCTTCCATTTGCTCCGATAATTCTCACAAGAGGCTCCATCTCAAAATGTGCTGGCTCACATATCAAAGAAATCAAAAATCATCAACAATGCAGCTCAGTCCTCTACTGAGATGTCAAGTGAGAGCGCGCGGGGAGAACGTGGGGGTGACGCAGCAACTTTGCTCCCCGGGCATTCCATCTTTTTCAGTGACAGCGATTGCCAAAATGTTTGGCCTTTGACTCACTAAAAAAAGGAAGCTGCATTACCATTTGTAGATTTGTGTTTGACATCAATCCAAGCAAACATTACAATCCCACTGTGAGAAGGTGTATCATCCCGCATTGACATATTAAGCTTTGCGTATGAAATTTTAAAAAACAGCATTGGCACATTAACCCTTTCAGGGACAGCGGTTACTAGAGTGGACAGCTTACCATGTTATCGGGTTACAGGTTATCATTATTGGTGCATGAAAGGGTTAATAACAGCAAATGGAAAACAGGGAGGCTACGATGATTGGCTTCACATTTAAATATGTGTGACGAGAACTAGCTGTTCGTTTTAGGACGTAAAACGTATCCTTGGTGGACAAATAAAGACCACAAATAATTTGCATTTTTCCTTTAGGTTTATTGGAACACCTTTAAGAGGTCTAAAGAGTGTCGAAATGAATCTGGAAACACTCCTGAGGAGGATAAAAATGAAAGTAGAATACATTATTTCTTCCCAATATTTCCAAACCAACCACAGCGGGTTCCCACGTTCAGGGTTTATCCACAATTAATGAAACATTTCTTAGGATATTTTTCGCCATTTCTCCTGCACCGTTACTGCGACGCATGTTTAGTGCTCATCGGCGTGAGGCCTAAATTGGAAGCAGGAGAAAGCTCATCCAGAGATTTTTTTTTTCTATTTTATAGTGCGGGTACGCAATGCAATTATTCTGACTCTCTTTCCCCGTCTTGCTTGGACTAAGCGAGAACAAAAACGGCGTCGCGTGCATCTCAGAATGGCTTTCATTTAATATCGCATAGAAGGTGCAGAAGTGCCACAGCTTCATTTTGTGAAATGCTTTTTACCTACAACTTTTTTTCTACTTGTAGATACATATCATAGTATTGTTTCTGTTATTAGATACAAACACATGCTAGATTTTTGTGTGCGAGTGTGTTTCTTTTTATCTGTGTGCATGTACTATGGGATTTGTTTTGTGTCTAAGGGCATTCCTAAAGCTCACAAAAGTTAGTATATCCTTCTTTTTGTTTTTGGTAATAATTTAACCTATCTGCTCCAGGGCCAGTACTACAAAATGAAAGTTGGGTATAAGTTAAAGTAGTCACTGTACAGCGGTATATCCACGTTTCATTTGTGAGATACTCTTGCTCGGGTGCAAAACTGACGATAAGCCTGCGAACACAATGCACTTTGTTCATTTTGGATTTGCACTGAAGAAACTCCAAGTGAACCCAAAGTGCTTCTCCACATACTGTACAATCTGTATGTTGGAAGACAGCTGTTCTCCGTACAATATGCTAGCTACCTCTACACGATGCCACTGCTCTATTGTGCGGTATCTAATGAATGCAAATCGTGACGGCCGTGTGTATACCATACAAGGAACTGTTTAAGAGTTAGACTAAATCTCCAACGATTGAGATATTGGGACAAGTGCAGGGGCAACTGACAGAGGGAGGAAGTAGCACAGGGAAGCTAGCTGAGCTATTACGCAGTATCAAGCTAAACTAACCTCGTCTCTGTCCTTGTTAGTTACGCAGGTATGTTTGAGTATTTAAAAAAAATACACCTGCCAATCTACCTACCTATTTCAGTATATTCAAAAGGGGTGTGGGTCATTTTAGGACCTCAATATTTCTTAAAATGTTCTGTATTCATATTGAGGCTGTAAAACTGAGTAGTTGTGATGGCTAACGTGTTTTGAAGGTACAGCTTTCCATGTGTGTCTTTTGTTGTTTTCCCCCGCCGCTTAACTCGAAATGTACTGTCGTTTTGTGTGTTGTGATATTTCCTCGGTAGCTATACTGTACTACAAGATGGAGGGGATGGGGGAGTGGCATCGCCTGAGGCCGGGTGGCTCGAAATGCTCAAAGGTGGAGTTGGTGATAGGGGTGAGACGCAGCGGGGCGCCCGTCATCCCAGAGATGTTATTTAGGCTGCGGGATTTCTCATAACCTGTGGCTACATGACCATCAGATGCACAAATCCAAGGATGGAAAAAAAAAAAAGATAAAGATGTCGACCACAATGCGCATTCATGTTTTTCATGACAAAGTAGTGATGTAAGCCATGTGTGTGATGGGATTGCGATGCAAATTTGAAAGTGAACAGATGTTAAATACATTTATGTATACATGATGGCAGCACACATTAGAACCAGCAAAGATAGGCCATTTTGTTGACGAACAAGCATTTTGTGAAGTTCAAAACAAAACCAGCCCAAACGAAATGAAATAGTTTAGACCAAAGGAGGAAGTTGAAAAAGACAGACAGATAGACAGAGGGACAAACAGATGGACGGACAGAGACAGGACAAAACAGAAACATGGGTTACAAAAATCAGTTGCCACAATATCCCTTGAACACATACATTTGTGTGGGACAGCTGTGTCCAAGGGACGATACAATCGTTGAATACAAATCCTCAAATCTTCAAATGTTTGTGAAAATTCAATAATAATTTTTGTCCTTTTTTTTTTTTTTGTCTCCGCATCTCTCCTGGAGAAGAGACTCTTTCCAAAGGTGCTTGTAGTAGTGGTTCATGTTAGGAACATCAACTGTGGCGAGCAATATATGCATGGGTAAGTCATCTGGAACTGAGCTCAGACAGAATTCGAAACACAGATGTCGGTCCGGCAGCACTGCAAAGGTTAAATTTTAGGTCTATATTGCTTCCCGTATACTTATGGAACAGTGGTCCAGTGGCTAGCATGTCCGTTCCATTCCTGTGTAGAGTTTGTATGTTCTCCCCCTGCCTGCGTGGGTTTTCCTCTCACATTCCAAAAACATGCATGGCAGGTTGATGGAACACTCTCTAAATTGTACCTAAGTGTGATTGTGAGTGTGAATGGTTGTTATGTGTGCCCTGGGATTGGCTGGCAACCAGTTCAGGATGTACCCCGCCTACTCCCCGAAGTCAGCTGGGATAGGCTCCAGCATACCCGCGACCCTCGTGAGGATAAGCGGATTAGAAAATGGATGGATGGATGGGTGGATTTGGGAACAAAACATCCCAGACAAATGGGGAAAAATCCAGAATATGAAAATTATAGGGTATTCGTGTTTCGGGCATCCCATTACTGCACACATTTTTTAAAAAAATGACAAAAATGGACATTTGTGTTTTTCACAGGACAACAACCATATGTGTATTTTGAATGTATGCACATATGTTGTCCAGATTTAAAATAGTTTTGGAAATGGTCTGCCAAGTAGCCCCCTCCACCACTTAAGTGGCCTATCTCTGCTATACAACATAAGACCAGTTCATTTCAGAGAAACATGCACAGGGGTCCCAGTAATTACAACAACTACATTCAGCATAATGTCAAGCTGATTTTTTTTAATCATTTGTTTTTATATGTTCCTAAGCAGGTCTGTCAGAATATGTCTTCATGGCAAATTGGTCCATGCAGCAAAAAAGCAAAACAGAAAAAGAGTGGAGATGGCTTTACTGTACTGAAAAATTTCAATAGAGTCATCAACTCATTAACTTTGACTCTCATCACATTAGTGTCGATTACAAATAAATCGTTAGTCTTGCATTTCCTGGTGTGCGCACCTAAACCTGACGGTACTTAACCGGGCATATTAACAAACATTTATTGAGCGGCAGTAGATATGTGGACCCCTGCACTGACGTCAAAGCTGGAGCTGGGCCAGGCAGGGGAGCTTCATTCGAATCTGTAGAGACAACAAGGCAGCTCAAAAGCTACGTTCTGGCGGAATGGGGCTGCCCTGGTTGCTGGGAGCATATTTGTTAACGCAGCCTAATATCACCGGACAGCTCAGTATACTCAGGAGTCAGCTCAGATCTGATCCCTTTGTCAATGAAGACAATCAATAATGTTTCTACAGTGAGGATGCTGAGGATGGGGATAGATAAGAAGTTATGGAGACATGGTGGCACTCAGGGAGGACATAAAACTCAAACTCAAGTGTGTGATTAATGCAGCATCCATTTCCTTGTTTTCCTTGTTTTGTGCAACGGTCTTTCTTCAAATATTACTTCTGCAATGTGAGCTTGCCAAAGATGAGTTCTCCTCAAGGGCCAATACTATAAAAGCAGTTGCACTTAATGGTATTTTGCTTCATAGAGTGCTGTATTTTTCCGCACTGTAACACACTTCAGAGTATAAGGCGCACTTCAACGAATGGCCTATTTTAAAGCTGTTTTCATATACAGTGGTACCTCTACTTGCGAACGTCTCTTCATATGAAATTTACAAGTTACAAAATGCCTCAACAGAAAAAAATATTACCACTTCTTACGAAAGAAATTTCAAGATACAAAAGGTAAAAATACAGTATGGTCTGCTAGTCGCAGCTCCGAGTTTCCTGAACGCAACATACTCATAGCTGCTCTGCCATTGGCTATTACTGAGCATCATCCTGGCATCCCATTGGCTAAGAGGGACCGCTACCGTATGTGTCTATGTGTGTAGATAGATGGATATGTGTCTATGCAGCGTCCTCGTCATTCACCCCTCAGGCCATGAAGTGTTCCGATTGTTTTACGTAAATGTCAATCACCCAGAAAAAGCGTTCACCAGTACGGTGATCGCTCACTATGCTGATGTTTGCCTTCGACATTTTCAAAGGATTGTTAAAAGCCGACAAAAGCAAATGTCCTTGGATCAGTTCTTTACAAATAGCCAGGGAAAAACCACTTCTGAGAGATGACATGAACTGACGAGGGCAAAAAATGACGAGGACGCAAATAAAAGTTAAATGACCATCATTTTTATTCTTTACTCTCTTCTTTGTTTTTTACATTATGCACAACTCTCATTTATTGTAATCTAATTGTAACATGTATTTGTTACATATTTTGATGCATTTTTATGCTTTTGGAAACAATTGTGTCTGAATTTTTGGGGGGCTTGGAACGGATTAGGGCATTTATATAGAAAATGTGTCTCTACTTACAAAGTTTCTACTTAAGAAATTTCTTCCAGAACCAATTAATTTCGTAAGTAGAAGTATCACTGGGCGCACTGCATTATAAGGCGTATAGAATTGAATCTACAATAGCGGCTGCAGTTGCGATAACCATCCACTAGATGGAGCAACACTAAATGGAATACAATACAGCTTTATTTATACAGTAAATATTCCCATCCCCGGAATTCTATGAAAAGGAATATCCTTCACCCGGAACAAAAGCCTGTGCATTAACATTTTGACTACGATATTACATGTTACCGGAACTTACGTAA